CTGGGAGTCATTTGTTGCAGCAGCGTTCTGAAGGTACCCACACTTCACTGCAGGCACCTGGCTGTGAAAACATTGGGTCTGGGAGCCAGATGAGTAGCTGTACTGTCTCTTGTCACTCAACCCAGCTCTCAATTTGCTGGTCCTGCAGCTAGGAGGATAGTGAGCCACATTTAATCAAATCCAAGCTGCCATCAGTTATAAGGTACATTGTTATTTTATGAACCACTTAGAAAAAACAAGTCACTGTGAAAGTGTGACCTACAGTCATTTAAAAATATCCTCATTTCAGAGATGAAAAGACAAGCACCCTTAGAATCATGAAGAAAGAATTTCTGAAGGGAGTGTCACTTGAGCTGTCAGGTAACAGAGCGGGAGTGAGTATGTGGTCGTATGTGATAGACTCTTCTCTCTCTCCAAGATTTGGATTTCTTATACCTTATTCTAGAGAATTTTTGGCAACTCAACCACTGAAGGGGGCGCTGTTTCTCGTGCTCCCTCCCTTGCTGGAGCGAGCTTTTCTCTCTCGCTACTTGGTTATTACTGGACCTAACTGGGCTTAACTGGAGGTGACTGGAGATTTTAGAGAAGATATAGGACAGACAGACAGACAGAAATTTGGGATCAGTTGTTGTACACTTGGCTGGAGACGCAAAACGCTCATCTTCTTTTTCTCTAGTGATTAAGGCCTTGCTGCTTGCAGTTCTTTATTTTTTTTTTCATTTTTCTTTTATTATTCATATGTGCATACAAGGCTTGGTTCATTTCTCCCCCCTGCCCCCACCCCCTCCCTCTCACCCCCCCTCAATACCCAGCAGAAACTATTTTGCCCTTATTTCTAATTTTGTTGTAGAGAGAGTATAAGCAATAATAGGAAGGAACAAGGGTTTTTGCTGGTTGAGATAAGGATAGCTATACAGGGCATTGACTCACATTGATTTCCTGTGCGTGGGTGTTACCTTCTAGGTTAATTCTTTTTGTTCTAACCTTTTCTCTAGTACCTGTTCCCCTTTTCCTATTGGCCTCCTTGCAGTTCTTTAAAACCGTGCTTAAAACTTCTTTCCTTAGGCTTGCACTGTCTCATGTTTGCTCTCAGCTTTTTAGCTTAATCCTCTTAGTCTTTTGCCCCCAGGCTTGCACTGTCCCATGTCTCTTTAGCTCTCTCAAAGCCTCAGTGCTCAAACGCGTGCAAACAGCCACGCCTACAACCTGCACATGCGTAACCCTTAAAGTCTTGGCCCTCAGACTTGCACTGTGCACTGTCCCGTGTTCTCTTGCTTTCTTTGGCTTTAGCTTTCCTAAGGCTTCTGCATGAAGTTCTTTCTCAGCTTTGCTTTCTGAAGCCTATGTTAAAGTTCTCAGTGCAGACTTTCTGTCAACCCTCTTTAGCATTTTCCCTTCAGCATTTTTTCCCTTTTCCCTTTAGCGTTTTCCCTTCAACATTTCTTTTCCCTTCAGTAATTTTTCCCTTCAATAATTCTTTTCCCTTCCAAAGGCTTCCCACACCCAAAAGGCCCAAAGTAAAAGCTTCTTCCTAATATTCAAAGGCAAAAAGTCCAAAAGCCAAAGCCAAAAGCCCCTCTTCCTCCTTCAGGGGTGTTTTATAGCGGCAAACAGGTGGAGCCATGGGGAGGGGTATGACATTGCAACAGGAGAAACCAGCATTCCTGCTTCTCTGAACACAGCTTGGAGACACAGCTGTTCTGTCTTTCCCTGTTTCGTGCGGGGGCTGTGCCTATCCCGGCCTATAGGTAAAAGCAAAAGCAATTAACTGCATTTCGCCTTGCTTGTATCCAGTTCTCATAGGCTTTAATCTGCTCCCCACAAACCACCTTAGTCCATTTTGTGTTTCTGTAACAAAATACCCAAGGTTTGTTCTTTTGGAGAAAAAGGTTTTCTTTGACTCATGAGTCTGGTGTCTGGGAAGTCCAAGCAGCATAGCACTAGGGTCTTGTGTGGGTCTCTTGGCATCAGCATGGCAGAGAGCTTACATAGTGAGAGATGAAACAAGAATGGGGAGTGGCCAGGCTCCCTTTGTTACACCGCTGGAACTCACCCATTCCTGCAGTACCTAACCCATGCCATGAGGCCAGCATTAAATCTCTTCATGATTAGTCCTGACACACTGGGAATGAACTCCCAGCCCACGAGCTTTGAGGGCCAAACCATAGCATTGACTGTATTTAATGTAGGCTACCATTGAGTCTGGATTTCAATCAGCCAACTAAGAAAATAATTAGAAGGCTTCTCGCTGCTTGAGCCAGCATGTGGAGCACAAAATCTGGTGTGTGTACCCATATTGGTAAAATTAGCCAACATGAAAATCATTTCCCCCCCCATCTAGTATATATTTGCCAGATTTCTTTGCAGGAATTTTTAGCATGTAAGCCTTCTAGGTCAGACTGTATTTGTCCCCATGGGATGTGCTGGAATCTGACTGTTTTAGGTTTAAGGAACATGAAGAGTGATGGAAACACCATGGAGGTTTGACTTCAGTGCCTCTGAGCTCGGGGGAGGTTAGGGAGTCTTAAGTGGGAATAGCCTCATAAGATAGGAGAACCATGCTTGAGTCTACAGATGTGGGAATTCCATTGGAGATGGGGATCTGTGTCCTCTTGATGTCACCGTCCAAGTTTCAAGGACCTATTTCTACAGAAGAGACCTGGTGAGGTTAGGAATTAAATTTGGCAGTTCATGGTATTGAACTTTTGTCTTTTGGTCTTCTCGGTCCTTCAGCTGCAAACAGGAAGAGATTCCTTTGATCTCAGAAAGTCTTTTTATTCTGTGCCTGACAGCAAGATTTGTAAACTTGAACTTGATATTCTCTTTCTTTGAGCCAGTAGTTTTCATTGGCTTTTAAGTTTTGTCTCCCTCAGGGGACATTTAGCAATATCTTGAGAGACTTTTTAGTTGTCACAAATGGAGAGAGGGATGTATATATGTCACCTGCATCTAGTAGACAGAGGCAGGGATGTCACTCAACATCTTAAATAATACTTAGAACAACTTCCTATAACAAGGACGAATCCAGTCCAAAATGTCAGTAGAAACAGAGGTAAGAAACTTGTTTGCAGGTGTTCATAACAGTAAGAAGTTACCACCCCACTCCACATCCCCGGAATCCCCTAATCTCCCAACTGTGCCGTACCTCCTCAGCAATGTACTATCTTCTGACAGTGACACCATAGCACCAGCAGTTCACCAGAAGCACCTTGACTTTATGAACTACAAGAAGGGAAATGCCCAATCAGACCATAGCACTACACTGTGCAGCCTGGGATGGCCTTAACAATACTGATTGTGGCCTCTGGCCTCAGCCTCCAGAGTGCTGGGATCACACACCATCTATGCTGATTTTTTAGCATACACACCAGAATGTGGTGCACACCTGTAACCCCTGCCCTCAGTAGGGTATGAGAAGCAAGTGTCTGGCTTTCTCAGCCTATGGTAGGAAGCACATCTCACTCTGTCCAGCCTCATGGCAGGGTGATTGCCCAGCCCAGACAGACAGCCACAACCGCCACAGCACCACTTCCCACCACGCCCATCCTTCTGCTCAAGGCAGCACACCAGACATCACCCAGACTCTGTCCTTCCCTTCACTTGCTACATTAGCAGTCCCATCCTGAATCATCTTCCGCCTCCAGTGTCAGTTGCTTCATACAGTGGCCATTATCCATAACAGCTGGATGACTATGATAGGTTAACTTCAGCTTGTCTTCCTTCCCATGCGCTCTTTCCCTTCCATCAGCCTCCAAAGTGCTATGCCTGTTTCTCACCTCCTGTCTTTCTTGCCTTCAGTAGCCTCCTTTTACATCTAGAGTAAAATTCAAAAGCCTATTATGGCCTCTGCATGTTTTTTGTTTTTGTTTTGGCAGTACTGGGGGTTTGAACTCATAGGAGGCACTGTTACGGCATAAGTCAGTCCACCAGCTTTTTTTGGTGTTGGGTATTTTCAAAATAGGGTCTTATGAACTGCTTGCCCAGGCTGGCTTAGAACTTCAATCCTCCTGATCTCTACCTCCTTAGTAGCTAAGATTACAGGCTTGAGGGCGTCCAGCTCATATGACTTTTAAGAGTACCTTCTTTTATTTTTTTTAAAAAAAGCCTGGTTTGGACAGTGAGCTCACTGCTGAAAGGCCCTGCACTTCTGAGCTACCCCTCCCGACTCCCTAAACTCCAGTCAAGTCCTGCCTCTGGGCCTTAGCAGGTTCTGTTCCTTCTGTTCTTATTATTCTTTATGTCTTCACTTACTGGTCATCTTCCTTGCCCATCTCTGTTTCCTTTCCTTCCATTTCCTCCTTGTGACCAGAGTCTAACATTTAGTTTTTTTGTCTGCGCGTCAACCTTCTGATGGGATCAATTCTGGGTATTGATCACTGTGGTATATGCAGAGTCTAGCACAAAACCTGTTGTAAAACAGTGTCCTCAATAAATATTACGCTAAACAGACCAATGAAAGACCTTCCTTCCCTAACCCCCAAGGTCAAGCCACCATGCTAAGCACAGCCCAAGCTCTCTGTGATCTTCCTTAGCATAGCCCACGGTGGGACAGAAATGGCGATTTGTCAAACTCCAGTGTGTCAACAGCCTCTCCTGGGAAAGGCCTTGTGGCTCATGGTTCTACTTGCAGCAAGACCAGGGTAGTTCATGAAGCATCAGTTTGTGGACTCGTCTGGGGTTGGGTGCCAGGGGAGAAGGCAAAGCCATGTGACATACCATGTGACACACCTGAGGGGGCTGTGCACCGGCCTGGTGAGGAGGACAGTGAAGACACCGCCATGTCCATGTGCAGCCAGAGTAGCTGGCCTCGCCATCATCTTCTGAAATCTTTCCTATACTCCCTCTTTTCACTCTCAGCTTCCCTCCTTGAGGTTTTTTGGGAAAACCCTGGATTCAGAAATGACACAGGCCTTTCAGCAAGGGAAACACCAGGGATGGGAGGGGCAGAGAAAAACTCTGATTAACATCCCCACTTCATTCTGTGTTGTCTCTGTCAACAGCAGCCCAGCTCGACAACTCAAGTGCCACAATAAAACCTACAACTGCTGTCAAGCAAGACCTCCCTACTGTCAGTAGCACGACTAGCACGACAGTGACAACCGGCTCAGCCACTCCTAAGTTGGTCACAGATCCAACATCTATTGGCCCAAGAGTGACAGACCCAGCACAGGGAAAAAGTCCCCCAACGACCAAAGACCCTGTGGTGTACTCAACCACAGCTCAGCAGAGACCCACTACGTTGTCCACTGGCCTGAGTGAGAAACTCAACAAGGATAGCCCTACTATAACAGCCAGCGGCTTCCACGACAGCAAAACTTCATCTCTATTCCACGTGGTCCCAACCAGCACTGAAGCCACAAGTCAACAGGACAGAATCAAAGAGATAACCATCTCTGGAGGCCAGACGACCACTAACTCCATGACCACTCCAGGAAGCATCCAGTCAGCCCACCAATCTACAGACCCAGTTAGCACCTTAAAACCTACCCCTGCTGCCTCAGCACCCAATACAGGAAGCCCTAGCCAATGGACTGATGTTACTTCAGTGACCTCGGCGAACTCTCTCAAGGGACACCACAGCCCTGCCACAGTGTCCAGTAGCTCAGGCTCTGTGACCAGCCCTGGTTTCACCTCCTCCACCCAGGGGATACCCATCACACCCAGTAAGTAGTGCCTCGGTGTTTTGGGTTTTGTTTTCTGCAAGGAAGAAGAAACCTTTTGATACCCTTTCCCATGCAGCTGCTTAGCTGGAAGATGGGTATATGCAGAGTGTTAAACATTCTGAGGTTCTTCTATCTTCATTCACACCTACAAGGGTGTGCAGAGGCCAGTATGCCCGGATGCTGGGAGGGAGCACTGTGTCTTGGCTTGCTCAGGGTAGCATGTTAAGCAAGCCAGGTTGTGGTGGCAGAGTGTTATAATACTCTAGAAAGTGCTTCTCAGACTTGTTTGATGGCAGCCCGCCATAAGAAACACACTTAAAACAGGGTGCCAGTGGCTCTCACTGTCTCCCAAGCTACTACTAGGGAGAAAGAAATCAGCAGGATCACAGTTAACAGACCAGCCCAGGCAAAAAGTTCATGAAACCCCATCTTAACAAAAAAGCTGGGCAGGGCAGCATGAACCTGTCATTCCAGCTACTGTGGGAAGCATAAACAGAAGGACTGCAGTCCAGGCCAGAGTGGGAAAAATAAAAAAGCAAGGACCCTTTCTCAAAACAAACCACAGTAAAAAGGGCTGGAGGCCTAGTTCAAGTGGTAAAGCACTTGCCTGACAAACACAAAGCCCTGAGTTCAAACCCCAATACCAAAACCAAAACCCCAAACCACACTTTAATGTCACATCATGATCCAAAAACACCACACAGACATGAGACAAGGACATGCTGGTCTTAACCTAATAAATTAATTTCAGAATCCACTGATGGGCCATAGACTTTGAAATCATGACCCACCCTGGGCATACTGACCCAGACTTTCTAGATGTGAGCCTTGGACTGTGTTTCTAGCAACTTGCAGGTACACAGGTGCATCCTGAGGCCCACACAGCTTGCCCCACGGGGAGAAGATGGCTGCATCCTATGGTGAGACCACAAGTGCTGAGCTGGATGAGCCTGTTCAAATACCTGATCTGCACATGACCTTGGGCAAATCAATGAGCCCCTCCCAGCCTCAGTTTCTTGTTTATAAAATAGAGATTATAGTGGCACCTCCCTCTAGGAAAGTACCTCTGAAGCACTTTAGCACAGTCCCAACCACAAAGTGAGTGCCCGGCCAGTGTCACGTTGTCGTCATTGCTGTGACTTCCTTTGGCATGTTACTCACACTGGCCCATCCAGTCTGACCCCTAAAAGGGTCCAGGACCCCACTTCATCCCTCTGCCTCTTCTTCCTCAATAGCCTTCTGGTCCCAGCTGATGAGAACTATGGAGCCAGAGAAAATGGTCCTTTAATCTGCAGGACATGCATCACTAGTGTCTTCTCACAGTCTTTTGTTTTGCCAATTACAGCACCACTGGGTGCCTCTCAAGATACTCAGCAGAACTCTAGCCAGGTGCCATTCAGCCCAGACCTGCCCTCTGCCATGATGCCGCAGTCCACGAGCACTCTGGTGGAAACTGGGAGCATGCCTGCTTTTTTGGGACCCACAAGATCCAGCACTGACTTGGCTCCAACGACCCCCCAAGGCCCCAGCACCCCCTCTCCCACCTGGACTCTTGGGCGTAACAAGGTAATTCCAGCAGGGTTGGGACAAGGATTGTTGAGATCCCAAGAAAAGCATATCTCTTCTTCCCTCTCAGGGCTAGGGCTGTGAGGAGCCTTCATCCATTCACCTCTCTCTTCCTGTCCTTGCCACCACAGAGAGGGGAAGAGTTCAAGGTCTGCTGACTCGGGGGTCTTAACCTTATCTCTGGCTTCTTTCAGGTAAAGTGTGACCCTGCCATTAAGCCCAGCGAAGACCTGCTCATCCTAAACCTCACAGCAGCCAGCTTCTGTGTGAGTACCCCTGTTAGAGCCCCAGCCCCACCTCCCACCCCTGCAGGCTGCAGGACAAGGAGGCCAAGGGCCTGAAGTGCCCTTTCTCAAAGGTACTGAGCCATGGCCTCACGTAGGGATCTATCCTGCCCAGTCTTAGACAGCAGCAACTTAAGGGCCATACTTTTGCAAGCCAGGCATGTGCACAGGGCTGCCACAGGGCCGGAACAGTGCAATTGTATAATTATAACTGCCCACAGTGGTTTGAGACTCAGGAGACCCTGTTTACCTGTGGCTCTAGGTGTGACTGTGGTACCTGGCCTCTTTGAAAATGAGAATTTAAAAGCCTGGTGTGCACACCTATAATCCTAGCTACTTGGGAGACAGAGGTAGGAGGATCCAGCCCAGGCAACGTTAGCAAAAAACTAAAAGCAAACATAAAAGTCTTTAAAACTAAAAGCAAAAGGACTTGGGGTATTGCTGAAGTAATAGAGCAAGAGGACCTGAGTTCTATCCTCAGTATCACCACAAACAAACAAAAAATATCGAGTTTAAGTACTTCACAGGCCCTTCCCTCTCCTCTCCTCCCCTCCAACTTTCCCCTTTCTAATAGTGGTTTGTATTTCCTGGTCCCTTGTGCTGAGTCTCAGCAGAGAACAGTGTGGCTGGAGTCTCACTCTAACCCGAGGAGAGAGGGGACAGTAGGGTCCAATGCTGAACTTGGGGCAAGAAAACTACAGTTGTTCTTGCACTCTGGTGGTGTGCAGGTGCACATGTGTGCACATTTATGTGAGCGGATGTAGCAGTGTGTGCAGATGCCTTCAGCCTCCCTGAGACCAAGGGCTCAGGCTGCACAGCACTTCCTCAGGGAAGAGCCCTTGAGCACTGTGAGTGCAGTTGGTGGCTGGCTCGCTGCTGCCCTCTCCTGTCCACTGCCTACTTTTGCAACCACTGCTAGGAGCTAGAACAGGATTTGATGTCCATAGGTTGAAGACCTTGGGCTCTCACACTTTAATGCTGCTGGTATTCTGCCATTGTCTTTTGGACATCTACTTTGCCAGCATTTTCCAGGTGAACCATACAGAAGCCTACCTTTGAGCATCAGAATTTTAAAAACGGAATGGTGTACTAGGGTCATGCTTTTGGGAGAAGACAGACAAAACATTGAAATTGGCCCAAGGACAGTCTTTGGGCTAAACTAGGCAGTTTGTTTGTGACAAGCATTTCCCTCCTTTGCTAGAGAAGGAAGATGAAAAGTTCTGATATTGGGGTGGGGAGTTTCTAAGCCTAAGGAAATTGCAGGAGAAACCTCAGGTGTGTTTTTTGGAAGTCCTGAAGGAAGCCAGGCCAAGAATCCTTTTCAGTGGGTGTGGTGGTACATGCCTGTAATCCTAGCACTCGGGAGGCAGAGGCAAAAGGACAAAGAGTTTTAGGCCAGCCCAAGCTACATTCCCATTGAGACTACACAGGGAGACCCTGTCTCAAAACACCAAGGACAGGAGTGGAACTCTGTTAAGAGTGCTTGCCTGGCCTGTGCAACCTGGGTTTAATCACCAGCACCACAAAATAAGTAATGAAAATGTCATTTTCTTTAGCTCAGCTGTTCACTCCAGAATCAGGTCAGAGAAATGATGGCCAGGGAAGGGCGCTCTGATGACGTGGGGGGCCTGGGTAAAAGCCACCCACACTTTCCTCCTCACCCCACCTCTGTTCATTCTGCCTGTGTCTCTGTATGCTGTTCCATGTGTGCTTAAGGATCCCTGGACTGCCCCATTCAGTGGCACGTTGCCATTCCTGTTCACGGTCTCAGTTTCAGTCTAGAGAGAGGCATAGGGTATCATTTGGGTATAGACCCCCTTGAGCTGAGAGCTGTGGTCATCCCCTCCTGAGTTCTTTGAGCTGGGGCATGAGAGGCTGGTGAATGGCAGTTTCAGACAGCAATGGAGTCCCTCTCACTGACTCCCTGGCACTGTGGACTGCCTCTTCTGCTCCTTCCAGCGAGAGACATGGTACAGGTGCCAGCTTCTGATCCTCACAGAGCTTGCAGGGAGGAAGGGACACTGGGGGAAAAGGTTTTGTGACCCAAGGACAAGGCTGGCGGGACAGGGGAAGAGCCAGAATGAGGCAGAGAAGGCAGGGACTAGTCTGGAAAAAACACAAAGCCCGATTCCTGGGAATAGCAACAGTGGAGTCAGTCCCAGCAGGGTGACAGAGGGCAGCAGCACACGCCATGGCTGCAGTCACCAGCCCTCAGCCCTCAGGACTCACCTGTGTTCTCCATAACAGGCAGGGAGCCCTCCGGATGACAGACTGGTCACTCTGCTGTGCCAATCAGTCAAAACCAGCTTCAACCCTGCTCAAGATGAGTGCACTGTACAGGTGGCACCTGTTCTCGAGAGCCAGGCGGTGGCAGTGAAAGGAATCACTATTGAGAGTGAGTTGAGGTCAGAGAGTCCTGAGCCTATGGGGCAGTAGAACTGGAGGTTGGGGTGGGGAGGTACCCAATCAATTCCCTACCAATTGTTAAGCCACGTGTCCTCCCAGGGATCTGAGACTGGGATACTTGCAGTACACTCTCCTCTTGGGGTCCACCTTCACTTCATCCCCTCATTCTGGACTGGGTCCTGGAGACAGCCATCTCTCTCTTGCCCACAGCCAAGCTGCTTCCCAAGGATGTATATGAACGGTTGAAGGACAAGTGGGGTGACCTGAGAGAGGTAAGCTGGCTCCACCATGCATGGTCCCAGAAAGTGTAGCAGTCTCTTGGTGCTCTCTTGACCATGCAAGAAAGGCACAGAAGAGGGGCAACAGCAGGTAGTGGGGTGAGACAGCAGGAGAGCCCATGACTGAATGGGGGCTCAAAGGGGTTCCCAGACTCCACTTTCTACCACCTAACCTCCCTTTCTGGCCAGGCGGGAGTCAGTGATATGCAGCTGGGGAACGAGGGCCCACCAGATGATGCTGAGGACCACTTCAGCATGCCCCTCATCATCACCATCGTCTGCATGGCATCCTTCCTGCTGCTCGTGGCAGCCCTCTATGGCTGCTGTCACCAGCGTCTTTCTCAGAGGAAGGACCAGGTGAGCATTCCCTCCTCTAGCAGGGAGCAGCCCTGTTGCGAGACGAACTCTCACCACTTACAAACAGAAGGGGAAAGTGAGTGTGCCCAGCCCCTCGTGGTAGATAGCTACCCCACCCCAGCCCACTTCCAGGTTCATGTGCCTTAGATATTGAAGAAGCGTCAGGGTGAAAGGGAGAGGCGGGTTCTAGACAGAAAGACTGCGTTTAGGCCTTGGCTACACGCCCCCACCCCCCATTCTCTGTGACCCTGAGTCAGTCACAAGTCTTCTTTGAGCTTCAGCTGTCACCTACATAGTGGGCGACCTTGCAGAACTGTTCTGGGGAGTCACTGATATAAATGGCCCTACATGTGCCCTTCTGACCAAAACTCCTTTCATCTGCCTTACTAGAATTCCCATCTTCCAGGGCCTGTAATCCTAGCACTTGGGAGATAGAGGAGGATCTTGAGTTCAAGGCCAACCTCTGCTACCTAGCAAAACCCTGTTTCAAAAAACAAACAAAAAACCCCTGCCATGTTTATAGCTCCACCCAGATCTGTGGTTCTCAGGCCTGCCCACACACTACCCTGGACTGGAGGTATGGCTCAAGCAGTAGATTGCCCCAGTCCCACTCCCCAGCTCCCCCACCCCCCCAAAAAGAAAAAGAAAACCCTCATGCCCAGCTTCCTCACACAACTGAAAACACCTGAATCTCTGTGTTAAACGCTCCCCAAGTGATTCTAACCTGCAACCAAGGCTGAATGCCCGAGAACACACCATTGCCACCTGGCCACTGTCTGTGGCAGGGACAGCCTCATGGACCATCATACCCATCTCACCCAGGCTTCGAGAGGTCCTGAGGGAGGTCATTTTCTTACAGTCTTGCTCAGTCCACTCCTGAAGGTGAGCTAGGATCCTGAAGAGGTCTTGGGGGAGGACTGGAGGAGAAAGAGCCGAGAGGTCTAAAGTCCTCTTAAAAAGTCCCCCTTCACTGATGTCACAGATTTGCCACCTGGGCAAAGGTGGTATTTTAGGATTTGGGCAAGTTTCTGTATGAGGCAGGAAAGCCTAGAGTGGCCTCCAGGAGCACTCAGCCCCCACATGTGAGCAGTAAGTGCTCGCTGTAGCCAAATTGGGGCCCCTGGGCTGAAGGGGGGACATGTATCATATTAAGGCTCACAGCCCTCCCAAATTGCCTTTTCTCCTGCCATCACTGTTCCCACTCTAGCAAAGACTCACAGAGGAGCTGCAGACAGTGGAGAATGGTTACCATGACAACCCAACCCTGGAAGTGATGGAGACCACTTCCGAGATGCAGGAGAAGAAGGTGGTCAACCTTAATGGGGAGCTGGGGGACAGCTGGATCGTCCCCTTGGACAACCTGACCAAGGATGACCTTGATGAAGAGGAAGACACACACCTCTAACTGCGTTGCTGGCCGCTTCAGATAGTGCCATAGAGCTCTGGACTGACCACCCAAAGTGCCATTTGGACAGGGGAGGAAAGTCCCTCCCCATTTGAGGAGGGAGACTGAGGAGGGAGCATGGACTGAGGATTACCTCCTTCAATCCCCCAAGGGCCTTAATTTTTCCCTTTCAAGCTGAACAAATCACATTCTGTCTAGATTCCTCTTGTAAAATAACCCACTAGTGCCTGAGCTCAGAGCTGCTAGAAGGTAAGTGGGAGGGAGATGGAGAAAGAGCCATAGAAGGGACTTTAGAGACCTTCCAGTTGAAACCCTTCATCTTGCAGGTGAGATGACTTGAGGCCTAAAGAGACTTGCCAAGTGACTTGCACAGGGTCACACAACCCCTTGGTGACAAATTCCGCCTTTTGGTTCAGTGTGTGTTTGTTCCATGCCACACTGCTGTTCCCACTACTCAGGGCTGCCCCAGGCAGGGGTGATGCTCCAGTGGGTGGGTGGGTGGGAAGAGCAGGCTTGTAACCTCTGTCTATAGGATTTGATTGCTTGGAAGGACATGCTCTCAAGTTTCCATCTCCTACCCCGGACTCTGCCAGCCTTCTCCTCCTCTGTCCCCTCCACCCTTTCACTCTGTCTCAGGCCTCAAATCTCTTGTTCTGGATTCTAATTTCCTTGCATCTGCATAATGAGATTGCATCCTAACCCACACAGACCTCCCTGTGTGAATGAGATCCACTCGTGGGCAGGCAGGTGAAGAGAAAAGGGGAGGTTCTCATCCCAGGAGGGCCTCCTCGTGGCAGCTGGCTCCGCACTGACACTGGCTCATCACCCAATGCACTCCTTGAAGACGGTCCCTGGGATCTCCTTTGGCCTTGCGCTCCCACCAGTGACTAAACTCTACAGTAGCTACTGAAAGCAAGATGTTCCTTTCTGTTCACTACAGTGGGGTACATCCCTGAAGCCCAGCTTTAAAGAGTAGTCTAGGGACAGACCTGTCCCAGGGCCTGGTCAGCAGAAATGTGCCTCAGTAGACAATCAGCTGAAGCTGCTAGAGGACAAGCATTGTTTCACAGGAAACTCAGGGATTTGCAAGTTGCTGAGTGATGTGTTGTTCTTTAATTCAGCCCCTCCACTGCCAGAGGCCAACGCTCAAAACACTGGACACTTTCAGTTAACTGATCTAATTTCGATTGTCCTGTGCCATGGAGAAAGGAAGGCCCAGGACATGTAGTACCTTCTAGAGTGTCTGACACTTTTTTCCCTTCCCTCTGCAGTTCTTCTTTCTGGTGGCATCTCAGGGAAACATTCCCCAACACGGTGTTCATAGGCTCAGCAGTCAGCTGCCTGGTAGAAGGCTGCCAAGGACTGAGCATAGTGAGGTTTCATCTGGTTTTCTGACAAGGAGGACCCTCATAAAATTTTGAACATTGGCCGTAGTCAGTATTGCTCTTGGGCATAAATTCCCTAGAACCAACGATCTACTTTGGGACAGTTTGTTTAAGTGGAGGAATAAGTGAACTTCTCTGGCTGCCTGACTCCTCTTTTACAGCCTGTAAGCCGTTTGATACCTAGGGGGACAGAAAGGCCTCCAACAAGTTTCCCAAGAGTTGAGAGCTGCTAGGCGAACAGGGATCCAAAAGCATCTCCCCTGCCAGTCTGGGGTCTGCAAAGGATATCTAGTTACTCTGTAAAAAGATCTTGCTTCCTTTCTGGCCAGAATTAGGTTTTGTTCCCCCAGAGAGGGGGATCTGTCATGGCCTCTGTGTAACAGGCCAGACTGAATTATTGCTTCTTCACTGGTTGTGGGTCACATTCACTAACAAGGGCATTTGACAGGGACAGCAAATATTGCTTCTGCAACTCCTAGGCCTCTCCGAGGGATGATGACTGCATGAACTAGAGAACAGAAATCTTGGCTCTGCCTGGAGAACCTGGAGGAGCTTGGGGCTGGTCCAGGGGCTCTTTTTTGTACATCCAGTCTATACACCTGGCTGTCAATGCTTAGGACATCAATGTCCAACAGGCCACACTGCCAGCATCTCTGTAAGTCATCTCCATCTTCATCTTTACTGGGCTCTCAGTGCTGTCTGATAATTCAGGTTCTAGGGCCAAGAACAGGTAAAAGGAACACTAGGGGCTCAACAAGACTTTAAAACCAACTGTACCAAAGAGAAATTAGAACTCTGTTCCAGTGGCAAACTGTGGTTTCCCCAATCTGCAAAACACACGGACCTGATGATGGTAATGGGATAAACCCACTGGGCAGCATAATTTCATGAGTGGGGAGAAGAACAGCCATGCTTATGAAGGAGGTACACACCAGTCTGCATCATAAGAAAGAGTAGGGGTTTAATTTAGTAGACTCCAGATTTTTCCCCTTCTTGATGACGAAAGCCAGTAGATTTATTCAAACTACTTCTTGAGCTTTTTTTTTTTTTTTTTTTTTTGGAGGGGTAGGGGAAGCAGTATTCTGGAGAAACTTTGAAGAACAAGTTCAAACAGATACCTAGGTAGGTATATGTATTTTTTTGGATAATGTAAATACACCAGCCACATGTTAATCTACCCTGCACTGCTTTAGGTGAATATACTTTGAGAAAAAAATATAGTTAGCTAAGAGAGATAGCTGGGTTTTTTTCTCTGAACTAGAATGTAAATGTCTCCCTAACTAGAAATGACATTTTTTTTTTTTAACAAAAAATGAAATAAGACAGGCTGGTGATAAACTGTGTCTTGCAGATAGGGCATTTTTACTTTAAAATATGATTCTTGCCCCTCCCTAGCCAAGTCCCAGTCCCATGACAGTAAAGGCTGGAGTTGGTATGCACAGGTTGGAAAATGACAGTAGTCACAGGGAGAAAGATTTACAGATCTAGTCCTAATCTTTCTACAAGGAAAACAATCTGAAACCCACAGAAGTAGTGACTTCGCCAAAATCACATGAGCAGTGAGAGAAACAAGATTAAAACCTGGGCCCACAGTCCTGTGCTGTGTGCATCTGAAGTAAGTACTGTCACAGGCACCAGGTAACACAGGATGCCTGCCATTCCTCCCTGAAAATTACCCTGGAAGGCTAAGAGGGCACAAATAAAAAAGGAAGGCCACTGGTCCTTTACACTTTCTCTGGAGTCATTTGGGTCGAAAATGTAAATGAATGGTTTCTTTCTGCCAAGAGACAGTTTTGAATGAACTTCACTTAGAAACTTTTGGTAGACCAAGAATCAAAGGGAACAAGAAGGGGAAAAGCAGAGGGCAAGAGTAAAAACCACAGTGTAGCTTCTGTCATTGTCACTAGCTGATTCCTTCAAGTCTGCTGAAAACCCAACACGGGGTAAAAAAAGATTACTATTTTATGGAGGTCTTGTTAGCGAAATGTTAAACTGTTTGCCCAGGAGACTGGGAGAGCACATGTCTTATTGGACAGGGGTCTGAAGTACACTGGAATTTATTGAGAAACTTGTTCGTAAAGACTATAGTTAATTATTGCATTTTCTTACAAAATATATTTTGGAAAACTGTACACCATCAATTAAAATACTTTTGTGTAAGCTGGTTCAGGCCCTAGTATTTTTTTGCTCTGACTGGTATAAATTCTTCACCTGCACAAGTCTCATCACTGAAGTACTGAAGATATCAGTTACCTTCCAGAATACCCACGTGTGGCAGCTCCTGAAGTAGTGATGTTCTCCACGCCACCTCAGGCTGTCAGAGATCATTTTCTCCAAGGTTGTTTTATAAATGTCTGCCCCTCTCCATGCCCTCTACTTCTACCTGGGATACAACTATGAGTCACCACCACCAAAGATCCCTTGGGGGCTGCTGAGCCCTGATCAGGTGTGGAAAGAAAACACGGCCAAGGGACAAACACAAACATAAAAAATGAGTGGCCCCATTTCTGCTTGGAAAAGGATCAATTTACTTGCCCCAAGATCCTTCTCCCTGTCTCTTTGTACACGGTGAGGGTGGGTGTTCAGATAAGAATTCTTGCCATCTATCAACAGCTGCACATTCCCAGGGCAGGGGAAACCATTATTCCCAGCTTGCAGGAGGGAAGTGACTTTGGATGCTAGATCCACCTTACAGTTTACAAAACATTTCACAATGCATATTTATAGGAAACTGTCACCAGCTTATATGAGGAAGCAAAGTTGCAGAGACAAATCTTCGGGTTTACACTGCCATCTAAATGTAGTCTCAGGCCTTGACTCCATCTTTTCGGTCTTGAGCCCCACATTCATTTTTCAGTACCAAATTCATGCTTGAGTTCCAAAACCAAAATTCACTTCCAGAATGCAAAGACTATTACCCTACAAAGGAGTGGGCCAGAGCTGGGCCGGAGTATTCTGAGGTTAACTTTATGAGTGTGCCAAGTATACAGAAAGGATCCAAATGCCAGAAACTCTTTCAAGACCCTGGCTGGGTTCAGACCCACTGTTGTATGACTCACAGTTTATCAAAGGTCACAATTAGATCTGAGACTCCATTCTCTTCCTCAGTGAGTCACTGACCCAGCTCCCTATGGCCCTGCCAAACCAAGAAGTACTCTCTATTGGAACTTGACTCTGTTAAACCTCTTGACATTCACAACCTCCCCAAACAGGGCTGGCTACTCTAAATGAACTCTAGTGGTAAATTCTGATAGCATTTTCTAATGACCTTGGCATTTTAGATTGGCAAAATTGATGGGATCGTGGCAGACAGGATCTTCTGCCAATATTTACTAACAGGGAAGCTGAGACTGCTCAATACTACACAAAGTTTTGTGGATGTAGAGATAAAAACAGAATTCAGGACTCCTAGACTGCCCATCCTCTGGCTCAAGTTCACATGGCAGACTTATGACAAGTGCTATGTACACAGCCAAGTGTTCTAGACCATCTCTCCTTTTGTGTTTTGCCAACCATCAAAACTTCCTAGCACAGCATCAGGTGGATCGCTTTTACCTGGCTTTTCTCTTCCCTATGACAAAGTCTGTTGCAAGGGTATAACTGACTGCCCCTTGAAGAACAGGAGTAACTGGCTATCTCTAGCATCAGGCTCTGCTGCCACCTTCCCTGTGCCACAAAAGCATATTCATATATATGAATATATGCCTACAGTGGTGCCTAAAGGGCTTAAAAATTCAAATGAGTCTTAGGGATGAAATTTCCAATAACCTGAACAAGCAGCTCTCCAGAGCTGCTGGGCAGTGCAGACTTGCAGTCACATAGCAATACAATCTCTACTCTCCCTTTTCTCCTCCCAAGACATTCAATAGGCAAAGGAAGACTCAGTCATAAAGTGCCGCAGAAAGGAAATGGCATGAGTGAGTGATTTAAACTTCTCCTACCAGGACCAGCTGCTCTTTCCAGTCAAGAGACCTGCAGAATCTGAAGTTATGGTAAAGAAGGTTGCCTTTACCATATCTTCCCCCATTCCCCATTTCTATAAATTCTTGTTTGTCACTTAGGAAGTTAAGTGAGTATGGGCACATTGTGGCCTTAAAGTAGCAGCTTCCCTTAGCCCTAGGTCTCCACACTCACTCAACCTGGAACAGCCAGCATCTCAAAGGTGCTTAGCACAAAGGCTGCTTTGCTTACTACTGTCTTCCCAACAGGAGACAGTAACAAATACGCCAGGGGCGGTGTCCCATGTTTTGATCCTTTTGAGTTAATTCTCTGGAGGTTCAACCAAGGAAAGGCCAATTCCTTACCTTATCACTGTACCTCATGTTTTCCTGTTTTGAGAACACAAAGAAATGTTACTTCTGAGCCGTATTCAAAGCACATCCTAGAAATGAAAACCACGCAGTAAGATGTGAGCTATTTAATTTGTAAATTAAAACATAATCCCTATGTGAGCAAACAGCTAACAACTCCAGAATGCAGGATTACAAAGCCAAAGAGCATGTGAACCTGAGTAAAACACCTTTTTGAGGGAAAAGTATAAAGACTGTAAAGTGCACAAAAATTTCAAAGGCTAACTTCAAAGTAGTTGTGGCAAACATGAGACGTCCTGTAGTGCCATATATCTTTTTTTTATTAAGAAAATGAACAAAATACATTCTTTCTTCATATGTACATTACATACAATGTAATTCTATAATTGCAGCTGTTCAGCAGATCACTCATTATTTATTCACAAAGTAGTGTGTACCAAACTAGGGATCAGAAAATTACTTGTACCAACAAGAAATCCTAAAAAGTCCTGATAAATTGGACAAAAGATAAACCAGAGAGAGTCAGGAAGGGGATGGGAAAGTCTGCAGAACATAACAGAGTCCAACAATAACTTAAAACAGTAGCACTGGAAGAGATCAGAACCCCAAAGGCACTGTTTAAATGCTCCAACAAGTGCCCCTTCTGATGTAGGTACTTGGGGTACAGTCTAACCCCAACACTGCCACAGAAAAGGGGAGAACCCAACAAGTTGGTTTTCTCCCAACATACTAAGAGGAAGAATCTAACTCGAAATACCAAGGTGGAAAACTTCTGAATCTTAGTGTTTAGAGAAATACAAGTTTTTTGAGAGACATTTGCTTAAGCACAGGAACTCATTTCATAGACTCCTTACATTTATGTTCATATTGTTCCATTATTTCTTTTGCTTTGTTTCTGGCCTTTAAGAAATACCTCATCCTTTTTTGAGTGTGGATTTAATTATGGCCATAAAAAAAAAAAAACAAAACAAAAAAAAAAACCTCCATCAGGAACAGAAGGCTCCTCATGACATGAATATGCTCCATATGCCTACAGTGGTGCCTAAAGGGCTTAAAAATTCAAATGAGTCTTAGGGATGAAATTTCCAATGACCTGAACAAGCAGCTCTCCAGACTTGCAGACACATAGCAATACAATTATTTTCAGACTGTCTAGAAAAGGGCAATGCTTATGAATAAGGGTGAGGACATATGCTGGCAACCTGGCATGTGGTAGAAAAGCATGGCTTGTTACCCTTTTTTTTTTTTAAACCTTTTCTGGATTTTACCACATTTGATGACGGGAAGAAGTCAGGGAAAGAAAATGAAGAGATCTCTTTAATTAATAAGGATTTTCCTTCTTTATATGTAGCAATTTTGTTTTTTGTAACTATGAAGTCAGTAAATGTTACTGAAGTCTGGTAAAGGACAATTAGCACTCCGACTTTCAAATGCACTGGCTGCTGTCATAATGGCTCCAGGCTGCGAGGCCTCACAGGGAAGAGGCTGGCTGCATTACTCAAGCAGGCCTAGAAAGGTGAGGGTCTCCTGGCTGTGGCGGAATCCTACCTTTCTTCTTAATCTAACTTCTAGCCCCCAATTTTGGTTCTGAGGATCTTTCCTTATTGGAAAGAATCTTAATTTCTGGTCACTGAGTACGTATAATTTATAAAAGAGTTGACTTTTTAAGAAAGCCTAACTTTCCCAAAGTGCCTTATAAGCATGTCAGTTTGGAAAGATGAAATATTGTTTCTTCTCAAGACTAAGACAAGAGGTGTTCAGCTTAGCTTTCAGAGGCTAAAAATGCTTCTGAGGCCAAAGAATCAATTATTCATAGCTTATGGAATGGTGGTAAGGAAAGAATCTCTTTAAAAAGAAAAAATACATACATATATTCATATAGCCACAAAGAAATCTGCTCAGAGAAAATTATCACATCATTCTGCAGCCTTTAAATTGAGCTGAAGGCTATATACATAAAGGATAATTAATACTATACAATCGTAATTCATTTCAAATTACATTTCATAAAAGTCAAAAAAGCAGGCTGGCTTAAAGGATAGCCAATCACAGCATCTCTTGCTTGGGATAAAGGTAATGGCTAGGAAAAGAAATTCACTTCTATTTTTCTAACTGGATGATTTACAATTGAGGAAGAAAATTGTTTGCAACTGGCTAGTTACCAAAATCACTTTTGTGGGGAAAAAAAAATTTCAAGAAGGAGATCAAGTACATGACTTTTTAAAGGACTACTCATTTCAGTCTTATTGAATTTTGAGTTGGGCTGACAATTACCTTCCCATGTTATCTATGTAGTCTGTGCTTTTACAGATATAACTACCATGCATATGTAAAATTAAGCCAAATCTTTACAAAGATAGAAGTACACTAGGACTTTTACAGTGGACAATTAAAAAATGTAAAGCCACACACCTCTGTCTTCAGTGTTCCTCCTTTCATCTCCAGAAGGAAAATACAGCAACTTCAGGGTACCATGCTGAACAGTTATTGCAAATGCAAGCGAGCATGGCCTTGAGAGATTAAGATCCTCTCTTACTATAGCTGAATTTGTAAAGAATTGACACTTAAACTTAAAATAAACCAAAACTATCAAATGTTTTCAATGTCCAGAACTCATGTATTTATGGCAAAGCAGAATAAACACAGACCCCTGGGATTACATATGATTAATTTATTTTAAGGTATGAAAATTCATGTCAATTCAATTCTGTATGGGTTATAAGTTATACATGAAATGACAATTTTCTTCCTATTTTAATGGACTAGCAAATAAACACGAACCTAGTAACACTAGCTAAACTGTAAGAGTTTTTTGAGATTTGTTAACAAAGGAGAGAAATAAAGCTCACAATTGGCTACTTGAGCAACTCCTTAATCATGCACACAGGACTGTTCACTCTTCTTAAAATCACACATGGGGCATTTCTCCTTCCTGCCAGTAATTTGGCATTTGCTAAGCAGTAAATGGAACTAAGGCATGATGAGCTTCAGGCTGGTACTTGTGTGGCAGACAGCTCAGACTTCTGGGACTGCTAGCATCCCAGACAGACCAAAGCTATGCTGCAGTCAGGGCTTAAACATGATGAACAGGCAAGTCCCCTGGGAGCCCAGCAAGTGCACATTAAAATATTTTATTGCTGTTTTCTTCTGAATCCTTACTGAAGACCTGGCTGTACACAGGAAACTGCTCATCTAGCTTAAGATCTCAAGCTTATTTTACAGGATTTTGTTTTAAGGATTCTCACAACTACTTGGGAGCAAGGTATGGGTAACTACCTAAGAAATTACTTCCTAAACTATTCCAAGTAACTGGATGGTCTAGAACATGAGCTTTGATTCCTTTGGACAGTCTTTACCTAGCACTGTGTCGTTTTATGCACTGCACAAAAATGAAGAGCTCTGATTCATTTAGATTTGTGAACCTTCAAATACATAAGCAACAAGCTCCCATTTTTCCACATTCTCTGAAGCTCTGGTCCTGAGGTTCAATAGTTCCCACCCAAAATGCCTTGGACAGGCAAAAATACGACATTGCACACAAATGCCTTATAGCTTACGAGGCTATCTGAATAGCAAATAAAAAGGAAGACATGCGATTTCCGAATTGTAAATGATTTCTTAGAACTGGCCTCCTTTCCTACCAAACGTCCCACCACCACCTTTTTCTTTGTTGTTGACTCCACTGGTTGTCAGATGACATCTGCATGGAATTCTACTTTCATGCAAGCTTGGCGGTGTTGGGGGACACTACTGCATATTAGCAAATCTAATTTGCAATGATTACCTTTAATGCAGAATCAACTAGAAGCATCCTTTGCTTTTTGTGTTAAGCTGTGAACTGGGATCCAGGTCCGTTTCCCACAGGATATTTCTTTCTGCAGCACTAGCCAATTTAATTTCCTAAGGCCTCTAACGACTAAGGGCCACAGAAGATGCTGCTGCCAGATGATCTTTACCATTGGCTTGATGGCTGACAATGAGATTTAGTCATTTGGATTGGAGCTAAATCCACATTCTAGATGGGAAGAGACATGTATGGTTGTATTATTTTTTATTTAAGAAAAAAATGAACACCAATCATTTCATGGCAATTAAAACCATTCCTAATTTTCAACTGCATCAGAAATTAAAAGTCAGTTCTTAACTTCAGCAGAAAATCAATGCTACCCATAGAAGTTGGAACAGAAAAAATGGGCTAAAAATACAATAAAATGAAAAGATAACAGGCAAATGGCAATTCTGGTGGTATGCCGAATTCCACAAGCAATCTTATAAAACTTGTAATACTCTACCAATAATTCTAAGACAGTATAGTCCTAGTGCCAGGAAAAGAAGCCACACAGGCTCCTCAGTTAAAGGTGCCATAGCCATTATTATCCCCAAATGAAAACGATACACATTCTTATAGCAAGATGTAAATGATACTACTTCTTTAATACATACAATTTTGAATTTCACTATTCTCTTATCATAAACAAGGACAATACAGCATGACTGCCTCAGAATGATTCTGACCTGTGTTTCTCAAGTCGTACAACAGTTCTAACTAAATAATGCCACAGAAAGTCTGGGAAATCTAGGGTTATACAACTCAAGAATAAAGTTAAATTAGGTAAGAAAAATAAATGGAAATGCAATTCACAGTATTTGGTTAATAGGAGGAACTCAAGGTTAAAAATCATGTATAAATAAAATCTCTGAGATAGCATTGAAAAACAAAAACAGCGATAGGCTACAATAATGAACTCTTCCTCCCACTCCTGGAAAAGAACTATGGCAAATGTCATTCAGCTAAGCTAATTGGCTCAATGTTATTTCAACAAACTTGGAAACTCTGACCTTCAACTGATCTACCTCTAGACAAGAAGTTTTGGATAGTCAAGTCATTTAGCATTAAGATAAATTACACAGAGATAAGATGCCTCAGTGAAAAAACCATAAAAGAATAATGTTATTTACCTAACACAGAAAATCTTTGCATTTAAGAGTCCAAAGATTTACTCTACAAGCACTGTTACATGCACATCTCTATGACACTCCTCCAATAGCTATAAATTTTTTCAGAGGGGAAGTAGAGGCACCTGCATATCCCAGACCAACTTAGAACTTGTTGGAAATTCAGACAAGAATTTCTGCAAAGAGATGAGACTGAAGATGAACAGGGCTTTAAAGAAGTATTAAGAAGGGCATTTTTAAACTATGGCTACATGACTTTAATGTTTAGAGTACACTGTCATAATCCCCTCCCACAGAACCACTTCAAACCATAATCCTTAACTGTTGTGCAACACTCAACCAGCTAAGGATTTCATATAACTTTTACTTAGGAAATAATCAAACAACCCTCAATTACCCAATAAACTCCATATAGTATTAAGAATAATTACAGTAATAATAACTTCTTTGTTAAATTACCATAACACTGAGTTTAACTTAGGGAATAAAATCAGGGACAGAATTCTTAAGAGCTTTTTGGCCCATAAATAACATTCTCAAATCTCTTCTAAATGATTAAGTGACTCAATCTAGTTTTTGTTTGTAGGTTAGATTTTAAAATCCAGTTTTATTAAATGAAACAATGTGAATCTCTATTTAGCACTTTTAAGGCAGATGTGTGAGATCCACTGGAATGATAAGTTGCCAGCCATTTACATATGACATTACCTATTTCTCTCAAGAATGCAGTTTTATAAGCTTAAACAAATCCTTGATCCCTAAATCTATGGCAAGTATTTCTATGACTTAACTTCCAATGTTTTCCATCAGTTTTTACTTATTAGACATGGCCAGGCCAGTTTTAATATAAATGGAAACCACATCTGAAAAGATGACCTTGATAAAGGTTAATATTGTCTGTCAGCTCTAACATAGAGATAGGCATCCGACTCTGAATTCCTTTGCTTTTTAAGAGTGGTACACTCTGAATTAATCAAGCTGGCCATATGAGGTCTCTCATCTCACAAAATAAAACACAAATGCATTTGAGAAATAACTTGCAAATCAAATCATTTCTCATGAAATACAAGTACTAATAATATTAATAGAGATCTAGTTTATTTCTGAAAATAATACATTTCATTGGGAAAAAGAGAAATGAGACTAGGGCTGAAGCTAGGGATAAAACTAAGCAATTTTTATCCTACTAGTTAATGCTTCTAAAGCATCAGCTGGTGTTTCAATTTGGGACTCAATAAACTGGAAAGAAAGAATTTTTTAAGTAGTAAAGCACACATACGTGGCCACTAAAATACCAAGTTTGATTATTTAAATAATGTACTGCTGGAACTCTTGGAAATATACATCCAGCTTCATAGCAAATATATAAACAACTTTCAAATCAAGCTTCTGATGTGAAAAGTTGTCAACAAAGTGTCAGTCTTGAACATGGATATATGAAACCCATGAAGTCATTCCTGGCAGGGTCCCACTAAACCCTCAAGGCACAGATTCTGACTACGTAGTCAATTATCTCGTCAGTGAGTGAGTGCATCTCACTTATGCAAAACCAAGTAGTTCACTCTGATTCAACTCCACTTAAACAAGGTACTGAAAAAAAATTCCAGAAATGAAGGGGAAAATTCCACATGAAGTGAAGAAAGGTGAAATTAAAACAGGCACATATTTTTAAAAAAATAGTAGGGAAAAATAAAATCACTGAAGTCAACTAAATTTCCTCCAAGTAATATGGAGTCTGAGGAAGTGATTAAAAAAAAAATCACAAAGAAAGCACTATAAAAATAAATGGTGGAGGGCAGCAGAATTTCATTTGGTTAATGTCTTCAAAGTGCCAGAATTCACAGTAACCAAGCTAGAGCTTTTAAATTTTGGCAGTCATCAAGTTGAAGTTCTTCCCAGTCAACCTGATTTGTATCTGCCTCCACAAAATCCAATAGGCTATAATATTAGTGATATTAATATTTTATGTTCTTGGCTGTCATTCAGGGGAATTATTTTATGAAACTCTGCAAGTCTATAAATAGGATGTATTTATTCAACAGTATAGTCAATTAAATGGTTATTCTGCATCTATACAATTTGGTACTTGCTGAATTATATGGCATACTTTTCACAAGATAAGGTATACACCTAAATGTTTAATAAATCACTATTAATTGCTTTGAGATGGGTAGAAAGCTAAGAAGCCCATGACTTAAGCCTAGAACTACCAAAAATATCTTTCTTGTCTACCCTTCAAAGATGTAAAGCCATGTAATAAAGACAGAGTGAAAAGATAGTTCAAGGTCTCATTCCCACACAACAGAAGTTTTTTGAAAGTGCAGGTCAATTTCTCCACTCCGGTGGGTCCTAATCTTGCTACATAGGGACATACATGTACTCAATTCAATTGTCATTCACCCTTAATAGCTGACAGATGAACATTACAGAGTCTACTTTCAGTACAGTGGGTATCATTGCATAAAGCAGTTTTTGAGCAAATCTGATCACTAGGCAGACATAGGTTTCTCAAAAAACATTCCACAGCACCTAATGGGAAGACATGTACCTCCATTCCCACATTCACAAAAACAGTACCACCAAAAAGCCCATGTATTGTACTTTTTCTGTTTAATGAAAAAAATAAGTGCCCTCTTATTTTTTCATTTTGTTCACTTTTAAAAGCCTGGTCCACATACTTAATGAAATGCCTATGAGTTTGTATACCAGTGGACAACAACAAACCATTCATCTTCAAAACACCAGCATATGCAGAGATGTGTCACAAAAAAAGGAAGCACAGCTCTGGAGACCCTCCAGAGCTAGCACACGGGAAAAAGGACAGCCTGGTTCTGCCAGCATGAAGAGTCATTGTCTTCCAGAATTACCAGAGACATCCATGAACACATCAACCACTACTGGACCTCTTCTGGTAGCTGTTTGTATAAAGGCTCTTAAAAGTTTTTGAATCATAATCTTCTTAGTTTCAGGTTTCTGTGACTCAAATCCAAATGCTACTGTAATTATCAACTATAAAATATATTATATAGAAATATTATATACCAATCTCTCATAGGGTGCCTAGGTCAACCCCAGATTTCATTTTTTTTTAGATCAATGGCAGAAGTGCAAATATGAACACTACATCCTGCCTACTGTATAATGTAATATAAGACAAATCAACATTCACACATATATCACCTTAATAGACATCAACTGTCCTAAAGAACTACATACCTGTTAAGAATGAAGAGGTAAACTAGTGATATCGCTTACACGTATTTGTGTGATGCGAAGTAAAGTAAAAGGGGAGGGGAAGAGAAAAAGGAAATAAAGGCCAAACAACCCAACAAAACCCAAAACTCTTGTAGCACTGAGTCTGTTAATAGTGCTGTTCTCCTAATAAAAAAAAAATAAATTAAAAAAATAGAAAATGGTAAATTGCCTAATTTTTCTTTTATACTTTTTAATTCTTAAAAATAAGAAAAATATATATAATTAAATGGAAAGTATACCAATTTCACTTTATTAACCTAATTCAGGAACAAGAGGAGAAGAATGGGGTGAGGTCAGGCATGAAGGAAGAGGGTTAGAACTTGTGATGGTGAGGACCCCTTCAACATCGGGATGTAGCCCTCAATCACTGCAACTTCACACCTGTCAACACTGAGAGCAGATTCCTGTGCTCCACTTCCCTTACAGTGTGATGAGGTCAACCAGGTTGCCTTTAGGTGGAGTCATGCTGTCAGGAAAGAAGTTTACTAAGGTGTCAAAGAGCTGAGTTCTTTGAGCATAGGTGTGATCCACATCTGAAAAGCCTGGGGAAGAAGAGAAAACGAAGAAAATTCAACATGGACTAACAAAAGTTAGTCATGATCAGCAGCAATGTACAACATAAAAACCCCAATCCAATCAGGCTTCAAAATTAGCTAGACTCTACTAATGTGATCTCAGTTGTACTACCCGGTGGTAGTGTGGACTTAGGTAATATCAGCCTCTTTGGGATTTAGCACTTGTTTCAACTGTGAATCTGTGATAATCCTTTCTGCTTCACAAAATTATTTTGGAGATTAAATGCAAATTATGGGAAAAGCACCTAGCAGAAAGCTGGCACTTCAGTATCTAAGTAATATGGATTTCTGGTCTCTTCTTTACAAGATTTTTTCTTCCACCAGCTCATTAATGTTTCTGACCAATTAAATTTTTTTGATAGTAAAAATATAATAAAATAAATTTAGAAAGTGGTCTAAAACCGATATGGTCTTAAGAGCTGGAAGTACTATCAGAGAACTGAGTGAAAACAGGTGACTGAAAGAAGGCAATCCATGTACAATATACACAGAACAGGACCTGCCCAAAGCAAATACCATGCATTATGGTCCTATGTACCTTGGTGCTGAGTACATACTGCATGAGAATGGAGTAAAGAACTACTTTTATTCACATAAATACTACAAAGTTGATGACATTCTTAAAAGATGAGGTCTGTTAATCTAACCTCTAATAACCCCTTAAAATCTAATAAACATTTGATTTTCAAGTTCACACAAGCCAATACAATATTCAGTGAAATGCCTTTCTTTTAGTCAGTTTACAGATCTGTAATACAGAAATGAGGTATTTCAATGATAAATGACTTTCTCATTCCTGAAATGGCTAGCTGAGACATAAGAGCTCTGCTAAGTGCCATCAGAAACAAAACCTGAGCCATAAAGAGTTATACAGGCACTGGGCATGGTGTGGTGGCTAATTCTAGCTACTCAGGAGGATTGCAGCTTGAGTCCATCCTCTAGCTAAATAGAAGGATTGCTGTCCAGGCCAGCCTGGGCATAAACTCGAGCCCCTATCTGAAAATTAACTAAACAGGGCTGGACTCTGTATGTATTTTTATGTGTGTGCATTGGGGAGGAATAGCTCAAGTGGTACAGTGCCTGGTGTGTGTGTGTGTGTGTGTGTGTGTGTGTTGGGGGGGAATAACTCAAGTAACTCAAGTGGTACAGTGCCTGGTCTGTGTGTGTGTGTTGGGGGGAATAATTCAAGTGGTACAGTGCCGTGTGTGTGTGTGTGTGTGTGTGTGTGTGTTGGGGGGAATAATTCAAGTGGTACAGTGCCGTGTGTGTGTGTGTGTGTGTGTGTGTGTGTGTGTGTGTGTGTTGGGGGGGAATAACTCAAGTGGTACAGTGCCTGGTGTGTGTGTGTGTGTGTGTTGGGGGGAATAACTCAAGTGGTACAGTGCCTGGTGTGTGTGTGTGTGTGTGTGTTGGGGGGAATAACTCAAGTGGTACAGTGCCTGGTGTGTGTGTGTGTGTGTGTGTGTGTGTGTGTGTGTGTGTGTGTGTGTGTGTGTGTGTGTGTGTTGGGGGGGAATAACTCAAGTGGTACAGTGTTGCCTAGCAAGCACAAGGCCCTGAGTTCAAACCACAGCATCTGAAGCAATGACTGTTCAGGTTCAGGGAAGACTCAAATTGTACGGATTCCACTTAACTTGGAATACAATCTGTTTTAATCTTGTAAAGAGCAGGAACAGAATATGACATTGTCATGGATACAGTTACCTGCAAGGAAGGAAGGAATGTGCCTCCAGAATGGCACATTCCTTTTCATTTTTAAAAACTGTATTATTATCGTTTTAAGCTTGAAGGGAAAATATTTCCTTTTTTAAGCTGGCTTCAGACTTTAAATGTCATATCATAGAAATAAACAGAAGGAAATATTCCAAAATAACTAACAAAGCTTATTTCTGAATAGTGGGAGTTTAATTTTTCTCTATCATGCTTTTCTGAATTTTCTACTTTTATTTTCAAATTTTTATCTGGAGAATTTCAAGCCCACAGAAAAGTTTCAAGAAGAGTTAAATGAACTTACATGTACATCCTTCACTTAGATTCATCAGTTGTTAACATTATGCCACATGTGCTCTTATTGTGTATACTCTACTCATTATCTTTTTTGTGGATCTATTTAGGGACAAATTTTACACACTTCACCCCTAAATTCTTGAGCTCAATTTTGCTAAGAACAAGAATATCCACTTACATAAAACCACTATATAAATTATACATATTAACATACATATGATTTTTTTTTCTTTTTTCCTTTTTTTGTGGTGCTGGGATCAACTCCAGGGCCTCATGTATGCTAGGCAAGTGCTCTCCCATTCAGCTTCATCGCTGGCCCAAGGATGCAGCCTTTAAGCTGGATTTTCTAAGATCATGTGCAGATGCAAGCTGTGCAGTCTGGTCAGAACACTATAGAAGTAAGTGATGGTGTGCGTCCTCAGTGCATGGAATCAGAAGGCTCATGTAATCACTCTGTTCCAGTATCAATGATATTAACTTTGATCACATGGTAAAGATGGTGCATGCCAGACTTCCCTAATGTAAAGTTGCTCTTTTCTACCTATGTAATTAATAAACTGTTGATGGGGAGCTGGTTTGACATTATATAAATAACTTGTTTAAGCCAGGCACTGGTGGCTCATGCCTGCAATTCCAGCTAGTCAGGAGGCAGAGATCAGGAGGATCATGGTTTGAAGCCAACCTAGATACATAGTTTGTGAGACCCTGTCTCGAAAAAAGCCATTCACACAAAAAGGCTGGTGGAGTGGTTCAAGGTGTAGGCCCTGAATTCAAACCCCAGTACCCCCCCCACCCCGCAAAAAAAAAAAAACCTTGTTTATCAAAACATCTGTACCCAATGATTTAGTAATCAGTGATGCTTCTTGCTAAACGATTGTTATTTATATTATGGTGGTTTCTACCTCTAATTCCTTCTACATTTAGTTGGCATTGTACTACGAAGAATTCTATTGTTCTCCCCTCTATCCATTTTACTGATTTATCTGTATCAGTACATATTCTTGGACTCGTCTCTTGTTCAACGTTATGCTCGTCACTGTCATTATTCACCGTGAGCCTCGTGTCATCCCAGATTTGGCCAGAGCTCACTCATCTGGCTTCACGTTTTTTTGAAATACATCTTATCAGTTTTTGAGCACTTCCTTCTGTTCTAATAAACCAAGATATTCAAGGCATTGTTGCACAGCTCTTGAGTCAGTCATTTCTCAAGAAGTCCTCATTTCTTTTAGTGGCAAATTGTGTTTAGAAACACAAAGATCAGTTATACTAATTGGCAAGATGTCATTTCTAGGACTGTTATATATACATACTTATTTTTAAGCAAAATAATGAATTCACAGTTTTACTGCTAATTCCATTTTTTGAAAACCCCACAGGTTCTCCCTCTTTTAATCCCATTCCATATCTCCTTTCTTCCACCAGGAAAATCATTACTTCCAGCAATGGCATAGTATCTAGTCACTTGCTCAAATTAAAACACAAAAAGAGTCCCAGAATTACTATACCTATACCATTACCAACAAAAACATGATTTCTTTGCTTTTATTGTCCTTGGAATGTATCACGCAGAGAGAATATAGTCTAAGCACTAAATTTTAGTTCTCTCCCCCTTCTGTGTTGCCAATTTGCTGAACAGATTTGCTTCTTTCTGTATGCATTCAACTTTAGGATTCTTCTCTTCTTTGGCTTTGTTTGTTTACTTATTTGTGGGACTGGTTTTTGAACCTGAGGCCTCACATTTGCTAGGCAGGCACCCTACCACTCGAGCCACTCCACCAGCCACATCCTTATCCTTTTTTGTATGCTGGGTATTTTTAAGATAGGGTCTTGCTTTTGTTGCCCAGGCTGGCCTCTAACTTCGACTCTCCTGATCTCTGCTTCCTAAGCTAGGATTATAGGCATAAGCCACCGGCGCTCAGCCTGGTTTTATTCTTTATTTTGTTCTGAATTTGTAAAAATGCCATGGTATCTTGTATGTTTAATAGAAAACATTTATTCTATAACATGAGTTTAATACCATTTATGAGGTAATACAATTTTCATGAGATCAAATGACTGAAGAAAGAGGAAGGGGCTGGGGATGTATCTCAGTGGTTAAGAGTGCTTACCAAGCATATGCAAGGCCCTGGGTTTCATCTCAACTCCAAAAAAACAAAGCAAAACAAGAGGGAAAAGGAATGAGGATGCAGGAGGAGGGAAACACTGAGTTCCTACTGTGTGCCAGATGCTTCATGTAGGACCAAAATTACATTGCTACAAAAGTAGTAAAGTAGTACAGAAACTGCATTTTCAGATGGAACAACTAGAGAATCAGTAATTTCATAAGGTCTCACAGCTGATGAGGGAAGAGGCGGAATGTGAACCAGCCCTAGAGTAAGTGCTCAATAAATACTAACTCGCTCTTGCTACGTCATTACTACTATGACTGAACACAGTGACTGCTCAAAAGGCGTTCTACTAGAAATATACTTTTAACTTAATATCCTGCACAGACTGGCTGGCTTATCCTATTTATGGTGAAAGAGAACCGGTGAGGATTTCTTTATCCCCAGGCCTACAAGTTGTTTTTTTTTTTTTTTAATGTGTACTTTCTAATTTTTACTACAAAAATTATTTCTATAAAAATCATCCCTAAACATATGGGTTGCAGAGAGAAGGCTAAAGAAAAATATAAAGGTTAAATGGGTAGAGCAAATGCTGTGAAATCCTTAAGGCTCCTAATTCACAAATGCCAACAGAGTGCCAAAAAGCACTGCACTATAGGCATCAAGGGTTTTAAACATTTGTCAGAACTACTGTAAGTTTTCTTCTAAAAGATGTGTGAACACTGAAAAAGCCACCATGCTCTACAGACCTTGCTGGGCTTGTTGGGTGAGATGAGGGTCTAACTTTTTGCTCTAGCAGGCCTTGAAGCATAATCCTCCTGATCTCCATCAACCATGGAGCTGGGATTACAGACATAAGCTACTGTGCCAGGCCTCACAGTCACTTTTAAAATTAGCCAATAACAGAGCTGGTATCTGAAGTCAATTCTGATTCATGGCCACTATGCCATAATCTAACTTCTTAACTACTGAAGTATATGGCTTTCTTCAGACAAGGTACGAAACAAGGTCTCACAGGAATTTTCCCTTTTTGTATTTTTATCTGTTGTGTTTGCATTATTCTTTGTGCATCTGCAGGCTGTTTAGAATCCAAGTGAAATAAACTGTTCTTACAATATGTTAGCTGGCAGAGAACAGGGAAGAGACAGAGAAAAGGAATTAAGCTGAAGGTACCATCCTAGTATATTTAAATTACTACTAAGAAATTCTTCTTCTAAAAGTTAGTCAGCCAGAGACAATTTAGTGCTGCCCACCAATAAACTAAAGTAATATACCTGGGCCATACTATCTATCTATAACAAGGTACACATCATTCAGATCGAGGCCAGCCTTCCAACTACAGCTCTGTTTTAAATGATAAAATTCAGAAGGGCATGTGCTTTCTAAAATAATGCTTATACCTGGTTTTTCCATCATCATAGGGTTGTTATTTCTGAAGACATTTTTAAAAGCCTTCAAGTGAACCACTATTTAATTCTTGTGAGAACCCACTGAAGTCGTATTTTACAGCAGCCTGTTCAGTCTGGCCTGTGGAGGCCAATGTAAATATTCTGGAATTAGAATTTAGGATTGGAGTTGCCTTAATCAGCAGAGAAGCCTCAATTACTTGCTATGGAAAAAGGGCAAAACCCCAAGGAGCACTGCTATTCTTTCCTAGCCCAGTGAAAAGCACCAGAATTATATATTTATGTCCCCCTTTGATGAAGAGTTAACCTGAAACAAAATGACAATGAAGAAATCAAAATAACATCCCCAAGTGTTATTTTATTCCAAATAAAAAGAGTGGTATGTATATTCTATTCACTAGGAAATTTCAAAGCTATTGCTCAACTGTAAGGCAGATAGTCACAGCACCAGCATGAATGGGATTAACACGCATTCACTGTATTGCTGCATCTTCTAATGACAACTGGAGAGCTGGAAATTCTCACATTTCAAAAGATTACTATGTTGGAAAACATTGAAGTGCCCAACAATGAGCTGCCTTAACAAAAATATCCTTGAAAAACTCAGCTGAGTAAAGCTCTGGGTCCTGAAACTTCTACAGCAAGTTTAGCTACTTTAATAATTCAGTAATATTATCTGATCCCCAGCCACACAAACACACACACACACACACACACACTCTCTCTCTCTCTCTCCCCCCAAATAACTCATTAAAATTAGACTACTTCTTAAGGAACACTAATGCCCATACCTCAGTTTCAAAGAGAACTTATCTTGAACAATTAAGATACCAACAAATAAAAATTCTCGTTTTTAAGAACAAGATAATTCATGCTCTCTGCTTCCAAAACACTTATTTTAATGCCTTCCCTATTTACCATTCTTCTGACACCACACAATTCCACAAGGAACAAACTAAGAGGAAAAGACCATTAAATCAACAAGTATTTCCTCACAGAAAGTGTATCAGTAATATAGCTTGAATTCCAAAGCAGTGCTAAACAAATTAATTTATTTTAACTATGCTTCTTTGGTTTTTTTGGTTGGTGGTACTAGGTTTTGAACTCAGGGTCTCATACTTGCTAGGAAGGTACTCACTTGGGCCAAACCCCTAAGCCTTTTTTGATTTGTTACTATTGAGATAGGGTCTTGAACTTATGCCTGGACCCAGAACGCACTCCTATGCTTCCCACCTAGCTGGGATGACCATACTCAACTTTTAATGGGTTGAAAATGGGGTCTTGCGAGCTTTCTGCTTAGGCTGGCCTGAAACCACAGAAGTTAGGATTATATGGTTGAACCACTGTGCCTTTACCATGGTTCTACTGCTATCAGTTTGCATCACAATGCAGCAACTGATATAAAAGGAATTACATACAATATGACCCATGAGCTGGCAAATGATGCTTAGAAAGTAACCTTTTAGCAGATTAGGATAGTAGCAGATTTAACAGATTTTGCATAGTACCTTGAAACTTGCTCCCCTTGTTTGGATATATATCTCACCTAATGTTTCCTTTAAGGGCAACCAAAATCCAGCCTTCCAAATGCTAGAACAATTGACTGGATAAACTATAGTGGCATACTTACCTAGAGCTGTAAAATCTGAACCAGATTTGAATAGAGCTGAAGCCAGAAGCTGAAACTATAAAGAAAAACAGAAGGAAATTAGCAGGCTAGAATACTTATGAAAAATAACTTCTATAACTTTGACTACTGGTTGATAGAATTACTGATAAAGCCTTACTCACTCAAGGTAAAAGCCAAACTCCTAACAATTGCTTATAAAGCTATTCACAATTTGTTCTTCCAATTCCTGACCTCATCTATGACTGCTTTTGCCACCTTTCCCTCTCCACTCCAATCAGTATGGCCTCCTTGCTATTCTCCTAAACCACATCATGTTCTCATACTCCTTAGCATGTCTGATCCTGTCCTCCATTCGCCAGAAATTATCTTCACCAAACTATCTGCACAGATCACTCCCTCACATCCTTCAATGCAAATCTTATTTCTAACTGAAGTATATTATGACTTCATACTATTTAATACTGCAACTGCCCAACTCTGACATCTCTGGTCTCCTTTGCACTTCCATAGCTTTATTTTTCCATAGTACTTACAAAATTCTAATGTGCTATATAATTTGCCTTATTCAATATGTTTATTATTTATTGTCTCTCCCACCTGGCAGGGATGTCTTTTGGTTTGCTGACACAGCTCCCATCCCTAGAATGCCTGGCATTTTGTCAGGAATCAACATACAGCTATTAAATGGATGCTACTAGTATTTTGGAAACTTAGCAGAAGTAGTGGTTAATAAATACAAAATGTGCTATACTGGCTGAAAATTTGGTAGATTTTATTTTGGCAACCTTTTCTCGAAAAATACTGTTTTCTAAGGATATGAGAACTTTGTCACCAATTCAGAACCCATATTCTGGATACTGAAGGAAGTAAAGAGCCATGTTTTGGTATAGAGCTGGAAGTCAACTTCCACTGTCCTAATAATAGGTATAATGATGATCATGATAATAACCACATATACCAAGTCTAAAAAAACCCTTTTGGTTACTGAAAAAGCCATTCAAATAAATGAAAATTTTTATAAAACAAACAAAACAAAAACAAGTTACTACAGAAAATGAATAGCAGCCAGTCCTTTTCAAAGGAGTGAAACGATTTCCTGTAATGAGAATGAAGGTCAATTTGCGTCACTGACAAATACTGTAAGTATGTATGGACTTTAACTGTCACCAAAACAGACCACTGGAATGTAAAAAGTTTAACCCTTTTATACATTTTTAAATAAAATAATAATCTTGCAGACCACTAATTCTCAATATCAAGAGTATTTTTTCATTTTTTTGTTATACATACAGACAAAGGAGATTCTTTGAGTGAAGGTATTGCTTTGAAAATTTCTGATGTTAGCACACACACATTTTACTAGCTTCTACTAAATAGCTCTTGCTTTATGAAGCTCTTAGGAAATAGAAGTCTGTAACATGAAATGTTATAATTCAAAAATAAAAGAATATAAACAGCTACCAAAAATTTTACAATAGCTCCGTTTGAACCTGAGTTCTGATTTTTTTCCCATTAGCTTAGCTTTAAGAACAAACTGTCTGTTTACTTTGGCTGATTTACAGCTCACACAGCTGAAATTATTTACTTTGGAACATTTTGTTTTGGTTTGATTTTTAAAAAGAAGGTAAAAATGACTATGCCCAGTTATGGTCATCTTATGTAGAATATGGAGAAATTATAACAAAATCTATATATACTCTCAAATGCATTGTCTAAGAACATTAATGAACTCTTCACAACTACCTGGAGTTATAAATCATAGCAGATTAAACTAAACACATTCTGCTGCTCAGGAAAACTACTATAATTTACCCTATTTCCAGTAGTATCAAGAACTAACTGAGGTCTCAAAGAAACACAACCCTATACAGAACATTCTGAAGTATATTCTGCTTATTCAATACCTAGTGAAAAGTTGCAACCAATACTGAATGAGAAAAATAGGTTTTACTTTCACAGCAGAAAATGCTGAAAGAGTATCTCTTTGTTTTGGTACTGAGGATGTGCAGGATCTATTGCTTTGAAAGTATAATGAACCTGGAGCCTAAAAGTGATTTGACAATAAATGTGAAACCTGTGCAAATGCTGAAGGAAGGAGAAAAAAAAAAAATCACTGTTTGATATTGCTATTACAAAGCCAAAGCAAAGCAACAGCTAACAAGGAAATAGATATAAGGGACAAACTACAAATCATCAGCACCAGTTCTGTGAGTGGGAGGGCAAAATGGTTTACAGTTCAGATGTTCTTAGATGGCTGGCAAAAGGAAATCTTGCAAGTTAGTATAAAGATAGGCTAGAAACCATGAAACTCGTTGCAGGTATAGTCACACACAGAATGAAAAAAATATACCCCAAAGAACAGGAAATCTTTAGAAATAGTTGATTCTATCTTATCTAACAAAAAAACTAGTAAGTCGTGATCAGCTACTGGTTTCTCAAGCTTAGGAATTACTGATGAATGAAGTTAGTAGACTACGGTCAAGTTACACAGCAATAACATCCCTGTAACTAAACACTAAACCAGCAAAGATTCCACTCCTGCTGACCTCTCTTTGCTTTCTCCCTACCAAAACAGATGAGTCTTCACTCTACTTTTGAGAAATCTTGTGTATCAACAGAAAAGTTTATATTGAACACTTTACAATTCTTACATAAAACAACCATGGACCTATGGAAAAAGTAAAACAATTTTTCTTCTCGAAATACAAAACATCTAAGTTAAAACTTTACACTTAAGAATTCTTTTCTGAATGGAACAAGGGTTTTCTTACTACAAGAAAATATGCCTGTCAAATTTTATTTCACCTGCTCTGTGCCATTTTTTAAGATTAGTGCCATCATATTTTCTTCATTTTCCTTTAAATACTCAAATTAGACAGACATTCTAAAAATACTCAATTTCTAAAGTTTACTATCATCTTTCTTTACCTCTTTTGTCTCTTCTGGGTCTGAATGATCCACAGTTATATAAAGATCATTTTGTAAATATTTCAGAGCACTTAGGGGATCCATTTGGGCCTTTTCTTCAAACCTAGAAAATATAACACAAGAGTAATAAATTACCTTGAATTATGAGAAATGTCTTTTTTTTTTTTTTTTTTTTTTGGCAGTTTGAACTCAGGGCTTTGTATTTGCTAGGTAGTTGCTCTATCATTTGAGCCACACCTCCAGCCCTTTTTGCTCTGATCATTTTGGAAAGTACCACATCCAGCTTTTTTCTGTTGAAATAGGGGTCTCACAAACTTTTGCCTGGGTTGGCCTGGAAGTTGTGGTGCTAGAAAACAGGTGAGAGTACTCTTTACCTTCTTTAAACAACAACTAAGAATTAAATCAACTACAAAATAGTGAATGTACCAAATACTTCACATAACACAACTGCAAAAAGAGTCCAATGTGTCTCATTAAAACCAAACAGACATAAAATTAAAACACTTGCTTTTATAATACATTGTCCCATGGAAATGTTTAACAGATACTTTGGAAACTGAAATGAGTATGGTCTGTTTTTAATAAGTATCATTAATGCTAAGTATTTTTAATGAGACTATTTCCATGTCTCAGTCAGTGATAACAAAAGTAACAGAAGCAGCAACTGCAGTAATCATTTATTAAGCATTTGTAATATGCTAGACACTATACCAGGTATTTTACACATATTTCTTTTATCTGCAAAATAACTCTATAATGATGATATATTTTCCATCATTTTTAAAAAATAAAAAACTGAAGCCCCAAAATGAATTGGACTAGTAAGAGGTGGTAAGAACAAGAAGCAGAATCAAACACAGATGTATCTGATACCAAAACTAAAAAGGAAAAAGCTTAAAAAAAAAATCCTTAATCTATTTGTATTTATTTATTTAAATAAGATAATGTCCTTTTTTATAACATAATTATACATGGATTTACTTCTATAAGTTGTTACGCTTTTCAAAACACAGAAGACAGTAAGACTCACTTAATTTCCTCTGGTAAGGAAAATGAAGAGCCTTTCCCAATGGTTTTCAGGTTCCCAGCAGCCTCAGCCACAGGGTGTCTGTTCTTTAGAAAGGGGCAAAAAGACTAGCAGAATAGTACAGCTCCCTTGTACCAGGTGGTATCCTGACAGTGCCAGTCAGACTGCCAGCTCTGAGATGAGGATCCCTTAGGCAGAGGTCATGTTACTCTACCATCTTATCCACAACAGATTCAATGAGGGTTTGGTACCTGAGCCAAAGGCAATCATCTCAAGCTTGATCAGCAGCTTATAAAGAGGCTTGACAGAATTCTTTCCAATTGTATACCTCTCTAAAGGTGAGGTATATAAGGACACATAAAAGGCAGACACAAACACAGAAAGCAGTGAGCAGAAGTCATGAAATGGTAGGCCCCGAGGCTGAGGGAAAGCAAAGCCAGAAGTAGTCGGTGAACAGGAAAAGCAGACAAAGCAGCAGCAAGTACAAAAAAAGTCACTAGTGCAGCTCCTGGCCACTAGAATCACTCTAGTATCCTAAACAATCCTCCATTCAGCCTCATCGTTCAAATGCAGAAAAGGTGCTGCAATGCCCTGACTATTCTTAAATAATTCTCTTTCAGTTGAGGTTATCCTAAGCATCCTTATCCTTTGCAACCTAAAATAAGCAACACACTTTCCATCCTATTAAACTGAGTAAAGAGATTAGTTTCCTGGAAGTTGTTTTCCCTCTTCTTTTCTAGGCTTCTCTTGGCCTGTAAGAAAGTATCACTGGACTTGTACCTGCAGTCTAGAATTATATCTTAACCAACAGCTAGTTCTCTCCTGTGCCAAAATAACTAACATTAATGCTATAATTTTTTTTTTTTTTGCACCTTTCTGCCCTTGAATCACTGTCAAGTTCGGAAAGTTGAATGTTGTATTAAAAAAATAGTGGCACTTAATTTACATCCTGACACACAATATAATTCTTTCCCTCTAAATTCATATTTTAACTGAACAGAGTAAGTAACTATTTTCAGTCAGAATAATGGCTGGAGGTCTGGCTCAAGAGGCAGAACACAATGGCCTTTTCTTGTCAGTCTGAATTGGTAGTAGACAAGATTCTCAAGATGCTCTAGAGCCATTCTTACTGCTTGCTCTCTCTCATACCTATATAAAAAAAAGTTTGTACAACCTTCAAAGTTTATACAGAATCTTACCATACTTTCCCAACCTCTTCTGTGGAATGTCTCTTCCTCTGCTGTCCCTCTCTCAAATGGTCCCCAGAAACATGCAACATCATCTTTACTCTTCTCACTGTCTCTGAGAAAGCTCCTCTTCCGTGTTAGTGACTCAAGGTTGTAATGTTAGGCCAAGTTCATGTACAATCTCCACTCACATGTCTTACAGACTTTTCAAACCCAAAGTGTCCCAAACCAAATTCATCTTTTGCAATACATAAATTCAATGTTTTTGAATTCTCCACTGGAGTGGAAGTAGCCACAACTTTCTACCCAGTTTTTTTGGAAAGAAAATCCACAGTGAGTTTATCAAAGTGAATATTTCATTCTCTACTACAATTTTTCAAAATTGAAGGACTTTCACAATTTGTCCATTTCTGTGTCCCTCTGACCTCATCTGCCATAATCATGTCAACTGATTCCATTTGTACCATGCTACCCTCCACAGTATTTCAGGAGTAGTTAAAATCCCAGAGCCTTGCCTATTATCTGTCTAGAGCACTCCTCCCCCAACTATTCATATGATTCATCCCACCATGTCCATTTAGGTCTCTGAGTAGAAACTTCAAAACAAAAATAAAAGTTGTGTTTGCTAACATTCTTATTTATTAGCATAGGTGACAGAGCTAACCAGCCAGATGTTAATATTATTATTTAAAAGTGGACCTCCGGCACCCTTACCTGTATGAACAAAGATAAACTTATTGTTTATTTTGTATTAGTATTATCTAATATACACTTATTGTTGGTCTCCCTTCGTAAGAATAGAAACTTGAGGGCAGGTATTTTAGTTTGTTTTCTTCACTGATAATAGCCACAGGGCCTCAGACAATGTCTCCCACATGTAGGTACTTGATAAATGTTTGTTTTTTTTAAATAAACGAACAGTTTTATTGATGCATTTACAGACCCTTGTGTGGTTGCTTTTGCCACTTTACAAGTGAGTAAGTCATCTCCAGAGAGTTTAAGATAAAAGACTGAAATATGAACGCAAAGGCTATCTAGGTCTGGGCTTTTTCCAATATTAGATATTAGCTCTTGAAGGCAAAAACCAATTGCAATCAGAAAAGAGTACTACTATGTTCCATACTTTTCTGCTACTATTATTACCATAATTGAAAACTGTCTATATGAATGGATAGGGCCTTTATACAGTCTTTAATTCTCTTTCAAGTTTTTTCTGGTTGAAGTTCTGAGATGAGTTCTTTCTTTTAGTAGCAAATTCCCAGTCACAAATTTCCTGCCTTTCACTTACTTTTTTCAAGAATTATTATCAAACTCACAAGATTTGCTAGTCTTTCATAACATACTTGCCTAGCAAATCTAGCAAGCTTGAGGCCCTGAGCTCAAACCCTGGTACCACAAAAAAAAGAAAAAAAATTCTTTATCCTCTTTTACTTCTCACTTCATGTCTTGACTAAGCACAAGCGACTAGTAATGTCTGTACCTGAAACTTAAACTTGCAGTAATGTATATTTCTGATTCCCATAAATCTTCATTCCACCGGCCCACTGAAAGTGCTGTACTTATTATTGTTGTTGTTCTTACTGTTATTATTACTTTTCTGTGCTGGGAAGAAACCCACAGACAGCCTCATGCATGCCACACAAGTGCTGTACCACTGAGTTACACCCGCCCCCACACCATCCAGAAATGCCTTAAAGAAGGAAAGCAATGGATATATCTTTAAAAAAAAAAAAAGAAAGAAAGAAAGCACTTCTCAGGCTGGCTTGGTTGTAGAAAATGATCCTACATACTTTTGGAAGGAATGAAAATTAACAGCTTTCTAGAGGACAGTTTGATAACTCATCAATTCCACCACTATTCTATAGAATTTCTAGGTAAGAGACCAAATAAAATATAATATTAACTATAACATTATTACTTATAACAGCAAATAAGCTGGAAAGTAATCTAAATATTCTATATAAAAGGAGACTAGTTAATTACACATAAAACAGAAAACCATGCAGCCATTATAATTATGATTACTACTTATAGTTATTAACCTAAAAAGAATGTTTATGACACTTCATTCACTGGCAGATTCAAAGGAATGAAATTCTTATTTTTCAGTTAAATAAATAATAGCCTATGAGTGTAATTAAGTGTTTAAGGGATATAACCAAAATATTAAGCTACTATTTGTGAATGTGGATGAGTGATTTTATTTTTCTGAGAGGAGAGAGTTGTTTTGTTTTTCTTTATTAAGCATACATTACTTTTTCCACTTAAGCTCAGAGGAAAGAGTTTATCAGTGAATTCCAATTCTTTACATTTAGCACTAAACAGTCTAATTTTTAATGGACTATGGTCAGGGAGTTAAAACAATTTTTAATCTTCCAATTACTAGGTGTCCTATGTGAAACAGAAATTGTAGTTTTTCTGAATTTTTCTTATCCTTTTAAAATTAAAATTAAGTAAAATATTAAGGAATGAATTTTAGCAATATTGGTTGAAGGAAGGTACTTCAAAACTTCAATCTTGTTAATGAAAGAGTTTTTCCTTTGCCATCCAGACATTGTGAAAATTCAGAACTCTCCCCCTCTAGATTCTGTAGGAAATACAGCAATTGTTCAAAATTATTTCCCAAAGTAGCTTATGCATTAGTTTATGTTTCAAGTACAACTTGTGAAAGCACACCAAGAACTATAAGCATATGATAAGGGAACACAAATCTAATTTATACATATACAGAGATTTTAGGCATTTACATTATCTAAAAATATAATACATAAACACATATGACAGATAAACATACACAAAAATGCATTTGTATGCAGGTATACACATACACACCCATATACAGGGAGGTTAAGGGTAGAGTCAGGATATTCAAGATCAAATCTTGGCTCTGTCACTTATGGTTGGATGACCATTTGAGATGGAATCACAATCTAGGGTTTTTTTGACCTTCCATGAGTTATAAAATGCATTTAAAAAATGCCTCAGTTTTCTTCTTTGATAAAATAGTGGTAACACAGTACCCACTTCATTAACTTACTGTAAGAATATGATGCAAGATCTAATACACAATAATTACTTAATAAAGGCTAACCTTCTCCTTCCAAACTACAGATTTTTATTACCATCAAACATGTTTTTGTGAATAATTCTGCTGTGAACATGCATGTACAAGTATTTCTTTGGGACTTTGATTTCAATTCTTTCATTAGTAACCCACAAAACAGATACACCTTTCCACATTTTTCAGTGGTTTATCACCTGCTAAGACTGAAAAGCAAATATATCCGAGGAGACATACAGGGAAATGTTTGATTACATCATTTTGAAATTTTTGGCAAAGGTAATGATGCAAAACTGTGTTTTGAAATTGCATTGTGGAACATCAAACTATAAAGATATTACGTAGGTCAACAATATCACCACATCCACCACTAAGAATTACCAATAGGTCAGGTACACATCAATAATCTAGGGCTGTTGTGATTTGAGTGTTAGAACTTGAGTTACTCCAAGGCAGGCACATTATCTTAACAGAAACTTTTTTCTATTATTCTAGTATCTGCAAAATTTCACTTGCTCACCTATATCTATCTTCACTTTATATCTTCCCTTGAAAGAGAAAAGTAAAAATAACAGGGCATTTACAAAATGCAACCTCTTCACAGTACTGATGCCATCTTCTTATGAAGGTTGCAAAGAAAAAGTTGCATCTTCAAAGCTGAGTGATACTAACAGCTGATAATGTTAATTAAACGTTTTCAGTGAATTACTGTACCTGTGTTTTCTTATGAGGTACTTGCAGTGCCGCAGTAAGTAATCTTTTGAAGGTCTACACAACTTCAGTGACCAGAAGTCATCTAGTCTCATCTTTGGAGAGCAAGATTTTCCTGGATTCCCACCAAATAAATAATGAACCTATAATAAACAAAACAAATGAGATTTTTAACAACTCATACAGTCTTAAGAATTAAGTACAGAGGCTATACTAAAATTTCTTCATTTTAGAAGCAGTCCATAATAGCTAGCTAACTTCCTTTGCCTTTTTCATGTAAAAAATTTTTAATCACTTCATTTTTACTAAGTGTCTCTTAATTTTTCTCATTTCCATTTTACTTTAAAGCACTGTGGCTATTTTCCTAAGCTACATTTTATACTAGATTGAGTTGTTCTATCACAATTATAATGATAATGGAAGATGAAACAAAAGCAGTAATAGGAAGAAGCTAATCCAAAATACAGTTTGTGGAGGACAACAAATAATGGGGACTATCAAGTGTATTAAGTGTTGATCAAAACAGCAAATAACATCTTAAAAAAATCTGATACATGTTGAATTGAATCACTGCAGGTCAAGACCAAACTACACTCTTCAACAAAATTTAACATATTTTGCTTTAATCTAAATATCAAATATTAAATGGCACATATAATTTGTAAAATAACTTTATTATTCCATTATTCAATTAATATTAAAAGGCAATGTAATAATGATTTCATTGTTACATTAGAATGTTAATGTTATTCTGTAATTTATACAAAGCTTCAAAGCATTTCCCTGAAATATTGAAAACATTTATTTTCAATGGTATTATACAATAGATATAAATTCATGAACCCCTTAAAACTGGGCTTTTATTCATTCCGGTGGTATCTTTTACCCAGAAGTCAGACTGTATAGCACAGACTTTAAATTTTCATCTATGGCCTAAAGAGAAAGAATTATGCTCTGTCAGTCAGTTTCCATATAGTTTGAGTCCAATCACTAAACTTCATGTCAAATTTAAAGGAGAAATAGTTACAGAAACCACTGAGTGCTTCATGACACGAAAACAACAGAATGCAAGACTATTTTCACAGAGCTGATAGAACAGAGGTTAGTCATTTAAGACAAATACAGATAGAATGATTTCTTATACAGTGGGAAAATCTAAAACCACAGTGCTATATAGTCATTCTCAAGGCTAAAAAGTGTGCAATTTACTTGGAAAACCACAGTGTAGAAACAATAAGCAATACTATATGTCTGATCTATGCAGCTAAGAAGCAGCCACTATTTGCAAAAGAGGTAAAGTAGCTGGTAATGGTGGCACACATCTATAATCTCTGCACTCGGAAGGCTGAAGGAGGAGGATCACAGTGTGAGGCCAGCCTAGGCTATATGTGAGACCCTATCTCAAAAAACCGAAGAAGAAAAGTACCAGGACATAAAAATGTTTACTCTCTTTTATAGAATTTTAGGGAGACGTAATATTGAAAGCCTGCTACATATTCTATTAAATATCTGCTCTGTATTACAACTTTTTATTGCAATCCACTTAAAGTGACCATAAGCAGATATGCTTGGGGATTCTTTTGGATTGCAGGCTGTGGAAAGTTTACAGGTCAAAGGGGTCATCATACCTTGTGTAACTCATCATAAACAAGCTGATGGGCGAATCTTGGACATGGTTCTTCCTCCTGCAGACTTTTACTTGGGTTATCCTTTGCAGCTTGATCATTCTTATACACACAAGACCTGTAAGACACTGCTTTTAAGGGACTCTACCCCAGAAAATTAGCAGCAAACACAATGTTAATACAGCCTAGCAGGTAAGTTCATTGTCAATGTCCAATCACCAACAACATAAAAAGTTCTGGTATATGTTAGAACAGAGCTGTGAAATTGTTTTAATAGCCATCAAATGGCTCAATTTAAAACAACCTGTCTCATGCTGTGAAACACAAACAGTACACATAGGCTCAAATAGAAGTATGAAAGAGATGTGATCCTGTTTACTCACAATAAAAATACTCAAAAGTGCACTGCTTTTATTTTGACTGCAAACAAATGTCCTATTTAGAAAGCGATAAATTCCTTAGTTGCTGAGCACTACTCTCTACTACTGAATGGACCAAGTTCTTGGAAGTGCTTATGTTCTACAGAATATTCACCTATGGAGCAATCGTGGAATGTGAGCGCTGGATCCTCTGGGCTAGTGTTTTCAAAGCAGAACATGCATGCCAGTTCTGTGAGATGTTTGTGACAAAGGGTCCTATTTTGGAAATGAGTCAAACTTTTTCACTTCATAAAAACTAAGGCATAAGTACATTAAAAAAGCAATGTTCTCAAGTTCACCCATCTACTTGGTTAGCAGCAAAACCAAACCTAGACTAAAATACAATTTTCTTGATTCCCAGACCAAGAACTACTTACTAATGGAAAAACACAGATGTAAAATTCCATTCACTCACCACCACTGTATACACAAGCAACAATTTGGCTCATAATACTGATTAAAAAAATAAAAACAGCAATACTACCTTTAAATATACAATGTCACAAATTAACAGAAGTCTACCATTTATTTCATTTTTTTGAATAAGCCAACAGCTTCACATAAATATTATACAGAGGTTACAGCACAGAGAAAAGATCCTTACCAACTATTCCTCACAATATCATAAATCCAGAATGAATTTCTGACATTCTCTTCTCTCTTTTCCTTGTCTTTGCTGAGACCAGATAAGACATGTATTTCATTCAGTTCTGGATCAATAGTTGCTCTCTGTGTGAATCCTGTCATTGGAACTATAAATTGAAGGAAAAAAATAACATGGTGATATTCATGTAAGAGAGCCGATTAGCACTAACTCTATAAAAGATTACACATCTTTATTCTGTTCTTTGTCCACAGTACTTATCTTCTAACACACTTCATAATCTTTCAATTAAACCACAGACAACTGTTTGTTGCCTTTCCCCTACTAGAATATAAATTCCACAAAGGCAGAGGTAGTTTTGCTCACTATTTCATTCCCAGTGCCTAGAATACTGCCTGGCATACAGGAATTACTCAACTTTCTAATTTAATTTAATTTTTTTGCAGTACTGGGGTTTGAATCAGGGCCTACACCTTAGGCTACTCCACCAGCCCTTTTTTGGTGATGGGTTTATTTCAAGATAGGGTCTCAAGAACTTTTGCCCGGGCTGGCTTCGAACCGCGACCCTCCTGATCTCTACCTCATGAGTAGTTAGGATTACAGGTGTGAGCCGCCATTGCCTGGTTCAACTATTTCTTACAACAATAAATGAATGTCAACTACCAGAATGAAAGCAGAGGGAAAAAAGAGGTACACAATGGAATCTTTTTAATGTACGATAAGTGATTTAGTATCTGGGCCAGCTCTAATTTAATAGTAGAGATAAAATATTCAAATCATGACCTGGAAAAACAAAACTGAAACAAAAAGTGAAACATGTTTGATTAACACGGCCAGAGTAATTTAAAGTATTTGTTTGTGGCATATAATAGTCAAGAAAAAAATTAAAAATTTTAAAGTACATTATGCCATTTTATTTTCCAGAGTACCTTAAATTCTCCAGAGTTGCTAATGCTTTACCTTGGTAAGAAATCTATTAAATAAGTTATGGTAATTCTGTATTATCTGGTAATTTTTTAAATATTGCTAAGGCAAATACAATTTTTTTCTTAACTTTATTTAGAAATATTAGTTGAAATACAATTTTATATATAGTCCATATATCTTATGGACTACTTCAAAGCATAACTGCCATGATACTTTACAACAATTGTCATGATATAATGTCATTACTTCAACACTACAGTTCTTCAACCTATGAACAATTATCATATGCTGAAAAAGCTAAACGAATATTGAAGTAAAATAACTAAACCACTCTCAAATACTATCACAGGAGATGCTAGCCATATTAACCTTGATTCTTTACTGTTGCAAGGGAAAATAATCCAGAATTTACTTTTGTTTAGTTTACAGTCCTAATAAATTTGGGACATTTTAAAGGCTACACAAATATATTCTACAATAAATATATTACAAAATTATATACACATATAAAAACATAATAATCTACATGCATACATGAATACATTTATATTAATTTCTATACTTATACAAACATATAATTGACCTTTTAGGTTTTTTTATGGTACTGGGGATGAACCCAGGGCCTTATACCTACTAGGCAAGCATTCTATTGCTTAAGTCATGCCAACAGCCCTTTTGTTTATATTTTGTTTCTGGAACAGAATCTTGATAACTTTATCTAGGCTGGTCTTGAACTCATGATCCTCCTGCCTCTGCCTCTCAAGTAACTGGGATTAGTAGGTATGCACCACTATGTCCAGCTTTGACCTGACCTAATCTTGATAACAACCTCAAGCCACTGTTTATTTTGTTTTAAATTTTTTTGGGTTGTTATTTGTCTGTGTTTTGAGAGAAGGTTTCACTGTGTAGCCAAGACTGGCCTGGAACTCTCAACCCTCCTGTCTCAGCCTATAGTGTGCTGGGATTATCGATACATACTACCACACCTGGCTAAGTCTGGTCTTTTCTTTAAAAAGCTTAATAAAAACTTTCAAAAGCAATGTGCAGAAGGCCTGTGTTCCTCAGACAATCGTGGAAGAAAGATAAAACAGTGAAGAAATGGAATCACTCTCCCCTTCCTGCACTGGTTTTTGGTGGTACTGGTGTCTGAACTCAGATGCGTGTGCTGGCTAGGCAGCACACGGTCAACCCTGTGGAATCACTTCTGTAAACTGGCAGAAGCAGGGAATGCAACTACCTAACTTACTTAACTTACTGCACTTAAATACTCACTTTGCCTTGTGCCAAGCATATGAATTAAGAATTTTAAAACGTGGCACAGCAAACCATGCGGGCATGCTCACAGTCAAATCAAGCCATGTCCGCTCATTTTTATGTTGCCCATGATTGTTTTTACCCTAAAATAGCAACAGCAAATGGATGGCCTGTAACATTGAAAATATTTACACCTGGTCTTTATAAAAACGTTTTTTCTTTTTTCTTTTTGGTGGGACTAGGGTTTTGAACTTAGGGTTTTATGCTTGGAAAGCAGGCACTCTATTCCTTTAGCCACGTATCAGTCCATTTCTGCCCTGGTTATTTTGGAGATGGGGGTCTCAGGAGCTATTTCCCTGGATCGGCCTGAAATTGTGATCCTCCCAATCTCAGATCCCAAGTAGCTAGGGTTATGCCTCTGTTCTATAATCTTTTAAAACACGTATCAAGTAAGTAGGTCTCATATGAATCAATACAACAAACTGCTTATCTTAAAATACCTAAATAAGGACCCACTAAAGGAACAGAAATTTGGGGGAGGAATCGAAATTAATGGGGAGGGAAAGAAATTTTGTACTTTATAAAACAGGAAGGGGGAGACTATCATTAAAAAGAAAGGATTAAAGAAACACTGGGATGGGAGGGGCATGTAGAACTGTGGAAGAATATAAAACCAAATTTAACATGTTCCCTGTATATATTGTCACATTCTGCTTGAAACCAACTTAAGCAGTAAAAGAGAGAATGACAATTGTCTTGTAAAAACAGAAGGCAGGTTTGTAATATTCAGATTCAGATTCAGGTAAGATTACCACTATGCTTATAAAATCTTTTATGGTATTATAAAAATTGCTTTTATTACAGAGCATACTACAAACTATACATGCACAATTTCTTTGATAACAGTATGACTTTTACTCTGAACTAATGTTGATTTTTGCCTCCAATTTACACATTCAAAGCTATTATCCACATTTTTATGCTTTACAAAACATATAATTCCTTGGGAGGCAGAGGTCAGGAGGATCACGATTTGAAGCCAGCCCAAGTAAATAGTTCTTGAGACCCTTTCTAAAAAAGAACCAACCTAAAATGGAATTGGTGGAATGGCTCTAGTGGTAGAGCACCTGCCTAGCAAGCATGAAACCCTGAGTTCACACTCCAGTACCACCAAACCCCCCCCAAAAAACAACAAAAATATAATTCACACATTACACAATTCACTCATTTAAAGTAAACACTTTCACACAGTTGAAAACCATCCCAATCTAAATTTAGAACAATTTCATTACTTCAAAAAGAAACCCTGTACCCACCAGCAATCCTTACCTCTCATGCCCTCTTTTACATCCCCCTATGGGACAGCTGTACCATTTTTCATGCCTGCTAGTAACTTAGGTAGTTATCTTAGTACATGTGGAGTGGGTTGTTTTATGTTGTTGTTGGTTTGTCTTTTGAGACAAATTCTGGCTATGTAGTCTAGCTTGGCCTGGAACCCATGACCCTCCTGCCTCAGCCTCCTGTTAGGAGTGAGCCACCAGGCCAGCTAAAGTATTAATTTAAGACATTTGGGGGGATGGTTTTGCTCTGCATTTCCTAATGACTATTGATTTTGAATACCTGTACTTGTACCTAGTGGCCATTTGTATTATCTTGAAAACTCTTTGCCCATTTTAAAATTGGGTTACTGTCTTTTCAGGACTGACTTATAAGTTACAAGTCCTCTAGATAAATGGTTTGCAAACTTTTTCTTCCATTCTGTGGGCTGTGTTTCCACATTCTTGATGGTGCTCTTTGGAGCACAATGATTTTAAACTTATTTTATTTTTTTGTGTTGTTGCTGATTCGTGCTAGTTGGGACACAGTAAGGTGTAGCTACTTAACATGCTAAGTCTAAAGCCAAGACACCATTCTTCAAAGCAAACAGTATCACATTACAGCCAAATGAAGTCTTTAATGTTCGCTTCAGTGTTTCAAATGACTTCAAATCAATACATCCTTACTATTCCTTACTATTTTGTTTTCTTTTTTTGGCGGGGGGTATTCTGGGGTTTGAACTCAGGGCCTTGCACTGGCTAGGCTGAGGCTCTGTTCTTTTTTGCTTTATTTCTGAGATATGGTCTCCTTTTTATGCGCGGGCTGGCCATGAAATGCAATCCTCCCAAATGCCACCTCCCAGGTAGGAAGTATCACAGGTGTAAACCACTGCACTTGGCATGAATCTTTAATCTTTATACGTCCTAATAAAATTCTTTAGGGTATAGACAAAATGGTTAATTTTCTTGAGAATGGTCTCTTTAACAGCACATCAAAGTTATTAAATATTTTTGTTAATATTATCCCTCTTTGTAAGATGTAAGTAATCAAACATCAGTATGGAGTTATCATGCTTGTAATACAGAAATCAAAACTGTGTGTTTGATAGGTTTTTGAGGGCCAGCTTAGGAATTTAAATACCAATTGCTATTGGAAAGAAAAGGGAATTTAAGTAAGAAATCTATGTAACTCATGCAAGAAAAGTTTGGGAGTCTCAGTTTTCTCATCAAAAAATTCAAAAGTTGATCTACAGTTTACTGGTTCTCATGAAGGTGGAAATTTCTGTTACAATGAGAGTGGTAGAATGACAGCTCTTCATAATAGTAAACATGGGGAAGCAAGAAGACAGGCTCTTGAGACACAGAGATCAAGTAGAGGCTATTAGAACTGCAATGAAGTGGACTGGAAACAAGCAGTAAGTAAAGGCTTTATTCCCACCAAATGGACATAATCCATGCAAAAAGAGCACTTATTTATATGCTAAATGAAAAAAATCTCTGGACTAGCAGAACAGAAACCAAGACTAGAGGAGAAATTTGTAAAAAAACAAGAGTAAAATGTTGCATCAAATTTTTTATCAGTACACTTTCCCCTAAGATTGCTCAAAAGTAAATTGTCTACACAATTTCTACCAAACCTTAAGACTGCAGT